TAGGCAATCATTGGTTTTCACATGTTGAGCGTTTTACATCGTGTAGGAACGCGCTGTAAAACGCCCAGGTGTGAACCAGGCCTAAAGCTTCAACCTGTGATCTTTGCCCTGCCTTATCTCTCTTCCCTATCTCCCATCGCACCTGTTGATTGTATATAAGTTGTTTTTTGTCGCGATGCCATGTGGGACATGCAGAAGTGGGGTTTTACTCTGGCACTGCGTCTGACGTTGGCGCCGCAAGATATTTCTGGTGGATCCCTACAGATCACATATTCAGTATGGGGTAAAGCGGTGTCATGAATGACGTGGAGGGACCAGGGCCCTTGTCTTGTACTACACGTCAGGCATCATGCCGCTAAGTGGTTGTAATTTATTTGTCTGAATGTGTTGTATTGCTGTGTGGTGTTCTTGCGCTGGGTGGAATGTTCCCCGAAACAGCACCTCGTTTTAAAAAAAAATATGTATAAAATAAAGTATATTTTATCAATCAAAAACCGTCTGCCTTCTCCTGGCAACAGGACGGAACTATGCAGCGTATTGGGAGTTGTTCCTGCAGGCATCGATTGGGGGGGATAACAATTCTCCTTAAGTGGATTTAAGGGGATTTCCTTCACATTCAAAGATATCCTCTCACTTCCTTTTTAGTCTAGTGGACAGGAAGTGAAGGGAAATCTCCCTAATGAGACACATATGGATAATAACACTGCCAGCAGTCTTAACCCTCTCCTGCTCTATCCAAAATGAAAAAAAAAGTTCTGCCTTTAGATATACACTGAGTGGCCAGATTATTCTGACCACCCCATCAGTACTTCATTGGGCCACGAGATGACTTCGTTGGGCCGCCTCGTGACTCCACGAGATGATGAAAGGTGATGCGAGGAATCTGACACTGCACTGTTGCCCTTCTGTTGTCTTGTACCAGTCTTGCCACTCTCCGTTCTGCCCTAACATTGGCTAGTCGCTGACGGCCACAATTCGCACGTTCAGACCCAGATTTTCGGCTGACAGTCCGGTCTTTAAACACTTTAACAATGAGCCCCTCTTGAACATTTACCGAATTCTGCTGTTTTGCTGATACTCGCTCCATGGCTCCGAGCGCCAACAATCATCCCATAATAATGGTGGTCATAATAATCTGGCCACTCAGTGTACTTTATGCTTTCCATCACCCTCCTAAATGATAACACTCGCCTGCATTTCACTATGTGCTTATATTAGTGCTAGCAGATTTCTTTGGAGAGCTGCTGATGTTGAAGTTTTTTTGTAAACTCACACGGGCCAGAAATTAATCAGAGAGTGATCCCAGGTTGCTCATTGAGGGTAACAATACAAGTAAAATGTTGCATACCAATTTAGCTACCTGCATGTGCCAATCAATTTAAAGGGTATCCATTGTCAAAAACTCAAAATAAATCTGTATTTCTAGATTGAATTTCCATAAGTCCCACTCCACTTCTAATAACCAGATCCATCTAGAAGTTTGTAAACTTAGTTATTAAAGATGCCCATAGGATGGACTTCCTCAATGCACTGACACAACTTCACTCAGCCCTGTGATATGCACTTCCCTGTCTCAAAAACGTTAACTAAACCTACCAACTGAACTACAACTCTGTGTCTGAGCAATGTAACATTATCATTGCTTGCTGGAAGCAATGCATGATGGGATATGGTGTCTTGAGAAATGGAGATTGCATCACATTGAGCAGCAGGGAAGGAGACACAAAGCACACTGGGAATCCAGGAAGTTGTTGGAAGTGATGGACAGACAGAAGGCAGCACTCACTACATAAAAGGGATGTTTTCATGTAAGGTTTTATTGCATTATCAAAAACAAATCAAGTATGTATTCCTATTACAATGCTGATGTTATAACAGGAGAGGATACGCTGGGACTTTATAACTCTTTTAATGGATTTAATTAATCAGAGGTTTATCTGAATGGTTAAGTCCAAATTGATATTAAGTGAATCTAAGAACTTGAGTTCAAGCTTCATCCCCTGCAATGTCTTCAGGTTTACTCTGTGTGTCATCTTTGGGGGGGATGCGTATCTTCATGGTTGCTATGGATGCAGGTTCCATCTTTTGCAACACTAATACTGATCAGGTAACGATAGTGGGCAATGGAAAGCTGAATCTACATTGAGATTGGATTTCCATACACCTGGCTCGTCACTTCACCCATTCGCAAAGTGACAGGTTCTCTTGACAGGCCACTCAAACTCATTGATTAGTTTTCATGTGCTGCCCTACCTCTCTGTGTTTTGCAATACCTGGTACTTCTGTGTATTGGGGAAGCATTTGACCTTCACCTCTTATACTACCAGGATGCTGTACTTGGGGAGAAGAGGTCACAGTCATGTGATTGAGTAGAGAACCTTGTATAAGCTCTGACCCAGACTGACATGGAGCTTACACAAGGAGTAGACTCGGACCCGATGGCTAAAGGGGGAGCGTGGTATGGAAAGTATCCACGGATGGGTGGCCTGTCAAGAAAATCTGCCATGTTGCCCTGAATGGACAAAGTGACAGGTTCTCTTTAAAGGCGATATCAGCCTTCTATGTCATTAACTCTTCACTAGTAATAGAATTACTGATGCAGCTTGCATTATTATTAGTAAAATATCCATGGTCGGGGCACTAAGCGATCGACTCATTAGAATAATGTGAGTTTCAGACAATCTGTCACAGTCAAAGTACCACTCATCATGGAATGGCTATGGGCCATTCGGCTCACCATATACATTACAATCTGACCGTACAATCAATGTTATATTTACCAAACCTAAGTAAGAAAAGAATGTACTTGAATATACCCAATCTATCTGCATCCAATCAGGAAGGCCCTTGAACTGCATACATGGTACTTAGATCTGATGGTGAATGTGTGGAGGGCATTAGGTATGAAAGAAAGCAGCAAGTGGGTCATCTTTTGTAGCAGCCATACTTTCCTTTTACTAGATGCTACTTGTCAACCTCTCTGCTAGGGATGCACCGATACCATTTTTTCGGTATCGAGTACCGATATTTTTTTTCGGTACTCGCCAATACCGAATACTGATACCAGAAGTCCCATTAAGGAAGCCAGGCGGTGTGTAATGACTCGCCACCTGGCTTCCTGATAAGCTGGGAAGCCGAGCGGCTTCCTGATTAGCAGGGAAGCCGTCTCCATGCTCCCTCGTCACTTTGTGACGAGGGAGCATGGAGCCAGCTTCCCAGTCAATAAGGAAGCCAGAAGGCGTGTAATGACTCGCTGCCCGGCTTCCTGATACCGGAAGTATCGGGCTAGGCGTTGCAGCATTTGGCGGAGTACAAGTACTCACCCAAATACTCTGCACCGATACTAATACTCATATCCAGGCCATGGTGGTTTATTGCGTCTCTTGCGAAGCGGCGGTAGTTTGCACCCCCTCCAGCCCCTCGCTGAGTAGCTGTATCTGTCGGCTCATCTGGGACGTCAGACTCTCGATCCGCCGGGCTTTCTGGCGCAGCTTGTGCAGTTGCTTGTTGTACTGCTCCTTCAGCTCCATGTAGCAGTTATGCTCATCTCGGTTTTCGGGCGTCAGCAGGGTTCCGCAGCCCATGTGACACATATCGCGCCAGTACTGGCAGCTCTGGCTGTGCTCGCAAATGTCCTTCCGCAGGACCTCTGCGGGGCAGCCCTCGTTGGAGCAACAAAGCAGCCTGAAGGCGCAGCTCTCCGCATGCTCTTCGGTCCGCGACAGAGGAAAGGTGGCGGGACATCCGTTTGCTTCATTGGGGCACTAATGATGAAAATATATATATGACCAATGCAATGATACTGCGTTAAACTAGGACTACCAACTTGATTTAACTTCGGGTCATGGGTGGACAATAAAATCGTAGATTTTACATGTTATACAGTATGGACCATCTGGAAATGTTCATTGTGCCTAAGCAGTAATGTTAAAATGTTCCCTTTTGTCTAGAATTCCCCCTGGAACATAGCAGTGCACTTCCTGGTATGTGAAGGTGCCTAGACGCCTCTGTGCCTACAGCCTCATAGTTGTATACCTGCAGTGTGAGATCTAAAGCACTGCTGCATCTGACTGCTCTGGCGCGAGATTTGGTGATGTCCCTACTGTGCTGATCACTGTTCTCCTTGCTGGAGAGGAAGCTGCACCTGAGAACCTGCACTGCAAGGATCTCCCTGCTTCTGCATCTGTTATGGTAAGCTCAGAGTACCTGTCAGGGTTTACCGGTCTCCTCTGAGAATCCCAGCCAGGATTTCCAGAAGATCCGCTACTTATGGATCTCACAGGGTTCAGGCCAGTACGGCTAGTAATAGTAAAAGATTCCAGGCCAGGACTTCCAGTGTACCCTGAGGCTGGGCGTGTCGTCTCTGATTTAGAAAGATTATTTAAGCACTAGCTCACAAACAGCTTCCTGTTTGTGTAAATAGCTTACACTTCTGCTGTTTTGGCATTGCTGACCCTTCTTTGCTTGCTGCCTGCCCTGATCTTCTGCCTGGACCCGACTTTGCTCTCGTCTTTGCGTTTATCCTCTGATTGTTCGTTGCTGACCTGGGACTGTCTGACCACCCTTTGCTAGCCGCCTGCCTTGAACTCTGCTTGGATCTGATTACTGTCTCCTCATTGGAGCCCTCCTGTTCTCGTCCATCCCTTATCCCTTGTAGGGGAAACGCTAGGGACCGCGACCTGGTACCAGCAAGCAGCCAAGCCCATCTCCACCATCAGGAACTATGGTGAGCACCAGCTGGTACTTAGACTCCGCCCCTCACGGAAGCCCATGTGACCTGCCAGTGGCTGTCACCCTAACAGCATCATTCATTCTGTGAATCTGTGCCTTGCAATCCCCTGCTGCTTCTTAAATATCCTCCGCCAGTCATCAGGAAGACATTTGCAAACGAACCTTTCTCAAGCTGAAGTGGTTGTTTCTAGAGACCATACATGTTGCATGAATGCATTTAGCTGAAAAAGCTCAGTTAAGTTTAAGGGCCCTTATACATTTTTGTGGCACAATATCGCACATGCGTTAACAAGCATTATGTCATGCTTTACGTTAAGGTAGCCCATTGAAAATTATAGGCTGCCTATTCATTAAAATGTCCTGAAAATTGAACATGTCACAAACGCAATGCACTATGGCATGCTGCAGTGCTTGGGTGGTGCCTTAGTGAGTTGGGGTGCCGTTAAAAATGAATGCCAATGCAACACAGAAGTCTAAATGGGCCCTTAATCCCGTAAGTCTTTTCTCAAAGGCTCCATGCTTGCAGTTTTGATATCCCATTTTCTTATTTTGATACTAAGGGTAGCCAGTCGAATAGAATACTAGGGGGGAGGGAGTAATACAAGATGGCTGTGGTGGGGTGGGGGGGGGGAGAAAGAGTAAACCAGCCCATGCACAGATGTTTGAAGTCAGACTATGGCTTTACCTTGACTTGCAGGCGGTTGATTCTCTTCTTTAGCTTGTGCATCTGCACAAATAGTTTGCCCTTCACCTCCGTTCTACAGCAGGGACAGGTCTGCTGCCTGGAATAAGAAGAAAGACCGGAGTTTTGCCAAACAGCAGAATAAACACAATAGGGACATGTACATAGCTTTTAACTGACTAAATGTTGAGCTTTGCCTGGAGTTCTCCATTGACTTGGTTTATAAAAGCCTAGCTGAAGTCACAGAAATGTCTGTGCAGCCAGAAGGAAATTGTACTAACAAGCTCCCTTTTCCTGTTGCAGCAGTTGTGTAGTAAATATGACTGTGCAGTCTAATAGGCAGCGGAGTTGGATCTAGTGCACACAGTAATCTGCACTCAGTAAGATAACTTATCTGACACGCCCCTCTGCAATACAAGTCTCTGAGTGGACACGTGCTGGGGGTGTGGCTGTTACTCAGCTCTGCCAACATAAAGCATAGCAGTGTGAGTGCAGTAGCAACATTTGCTCTCAGGAAAAGGTAATTCAAACAATTTTCAAGGCAAAATCAACCACAAATCATACCATGTGGGATACCGGAATATAGAGAGATAAAATGGTGTGGATCTTCAATCTGACTTCGATTAACAATCCATATTAAAGTGGATTAGAACTCCGCATTGATTGTCAGACTGTCTGCTAAATGTGGTTATAAATGTGACATAAACTATTTTCCTGCCTATGCAGAGTGACGGAAGTGTGTGAAGAGCTTTAATCGAGCACAATATCAATAAATAGCTCACCTCTTTAGCCATTGTAAGATACATTTCCTGCAGAAGATGTGACTACAGGACACCATGACCGGACAGCGCAGTACTCCGCGGCATATTGAACAGAGAAGGTCATCATCTGGATTTTCAGCAAAGATATCTAGATCGTATCCACCACCCTAAAAACACATGGCAGGCTTTATGTACATGACTATACACTTGTAGATAAAAAGGAATTCGCCGAGAGTATGGGGACACTCCTCTGAATTTGAGTTGAGGTGTTTCCATTGAAGGGTTCGGTTATAACTACGGCATACAAAGGCATTGTAGACAATTGTGAACTCTCAACCTTATGGTAACAGTTTGGGGAAGGTCCTTTTCTGTTCCTACATGACTGTGCCCCTGTGTGCTAAGCCAGCTCCATAAAGACATGGTTTCATGAGTTCGGTGTGGAAGAACTTGAGTGTCATGCAGAGCCCTGAATTCAACCTTAATGAACACCTTTGGGATAAATTGGAATGTCTATTGATTGCCAACCAGGTCTTTTTATCCCACATCTCCTCCAACCTCACAAATGTTCTTTTGGCTAAATGGGCAGGAATTCTCACAGACACACTCCAAAATCTTGTGGAAAGCCTTCCCAGAAGAGTGAAGGCTGTTATAAACACACAGGGGGCGGTCCATCTCCATTATTAATGGCCATGGGTTTGGAATGGGATGTCCAGCAGACCCATATACGTAGGTGTGATGGTCAGGTGTCCACAGATAGCCATATAGTGTATTTCACATTTTTTTTTTCTATCCAGAAAACTTACCAAGTTACTCAGATTTTACATGTGACATAAGCCCTTTTTTAAAAATGTTGGATAGCGTAAAAGCGTTATCTAAGGGTGTAGCTCCACAACATCAGGTGTCAAGAGTAACCCTGCCTTGAGGAATCTGAAGGTCTACCATTTAGGTCCTACAGAAACTACTAGTTGCCTGGTTGAACCCCTAGATCTTTGACCTGAACAAGTATGCAGATCAGGATGCTCAATATATGGCCAGAAGCCTTGATCAGCAAGCTTTCCCTGGGCCTGTACATCCAATTGTTCAGGCAACTGGCATTTTTCTTTAGGAGAGGTCAAGGTTTGACCTCCTCTGTCTCACACGGTAGGTTTCCATAAATGCAATAAGCAGATATCTCATTACAGTGGTACCTCGGTTCACGAACGCTTCTGTTTGCGAACAATTCGGTTCGCGAAGAGGAAGTTCGGCAAAATTTTGCTCCCGTTTGCGAACTCTGCATCGGATGATGAACACAACCGCACCCATCTTCCCTGCTCTGACAATGGTCGTGGCTTCCTCTAGTCGAGAAAGAAATAACGTCACCAGCACTCCAAAGTGTAATCAAGCAATAGTCCATTTATTGGCACATTGCCATTCAAATGCAAGCGCTTTCAGGGCCTCAAAGGGTCCCCTTCATCAGACTCAGATGCCTGATGAAGGGGACCCTTTGAGGCCCTGAAAGCGCTTGCATTTGAATGGCAATGTGCCAATAAATGGACTATTGCTTGATTACACTTTGGAGTGCTGGTGACGTCATTTCTTTTTCCAATCTTATCACGGTGCCATCCGTGGTCACTACAAGCACCCACCCGGCCATACGGGTCTTTTCGGTAAGTAGTGCAGCGAGATCTTTTGATTTCTTCCTCTAGTCGAGATCGCGGTCTGATCACAGTTTGTGACCAGAATCGTGGAACGAATTAAGTTCGTGAACCGAGGTGCCACTGTATAGTTCTTGGTAAGGCATCTGCTCCAGCATTGCCATCTAGGAGAAAACTTTAAACGTGTACCATTTACCTACTGAAATATAAAGCTGATAGACATGTAAAATATACCGTGACTAAAGTTTTATAACTCTCCAACACTCGCATAGGAAACATGAACAGATCCTGCACACCCGGACTCACCATTGCCTCTTCCACAGCCATCTGCTGCTCTGCTCTTTCTAGATCCATGTCATGTTCACATTACAGATAGTGTGCGCACTGATCACCAACCCCTGAGCGTTCCCATTCCACATTATTCCAGCTGGTCAGCAGCTATTCTATCCCCCCCGGCTTCTGACACTGGAGCACGGGGCCAGCCTGCCTATTGGCTGTACGGCTCCGCTGCATTGTTTACATTGTAGTGTATTGTTATGGAGCCAAACTTGCATTGGAGTCCAGGCAGTCAGCTCAGCACAAGGTGAACGGTAGCTTCCAGATGGCTCCGTGCCATGAATGATTCGTACTTTGCAGTCAGTTCAAAGAGGAGACAACGGGACGATTCTGATACAACTTTATTGGAATGGCAAAATAAAAACAGAGGTGATCAATCACTAGATTGTAAGCTCTCAGGAGCCGGACCCTGCAAACCTTCCTGTATTGAAATTGTATTGTAACTGTAATGTCTCCCTTCATTTTGTGATGCGCAAACTGGCACTGTATAAATCCTGTATAATAATAATCATATTATATTTAAACAGACCTTTAAATACATTAGGCTCAATCCACATAGCTAACACACCTGAATAAGGACAGGTATATTCAGCTGCGTCCAATGCAGACATCCCAACCTGCAAAACCTTATTTCAGAGAGGTTCCCCTCTCATTTCCGGAATGTGCAAAGCATTTGCGCGATATCGTGCGACAAACACGCGATTTGCGAATCGCTCAATGTGCATAGGGCCTCAAAGTCACAATTTATTAGACAGCCCAAGACCTTTTTAAAAAAACTCTGAGGAGTAAAGTCCCTGATACACCGTTGACTAGTTGCTATGGGCAGCAAATGAAATCAATGTTCTCTATAACTAGACAACCAGGACATATAATTGATTCTATATTATCCACAAAGGGTTAACAGCACTCTCTCAACCCTGCAGCAGTGCCTGTACCTGCTCTCAATAGTAGTCTATGTCGGCCCTCTCTGTGCAGCAAGTAGCTTCTTCCTTCCGAGAGCCAAGCCTCGTTCTGAGGTTACTCTAGAGATCACATGACCTTCCTCCAGGAGGCAAGCCTCACTCTGAAACTTTACCCACTGATATCTTAACGGAAAGGTTTACTCAGAGTAAACCTTTCAGGGAGAAAATGCCTCTCTCGCGGACGTCAGGGAGCCGCTATCTAATAGAGGGAGACTCCCTGAACATCAGGGAGACTTGAGATCCCTGCCAATGAGTTTTGAAAATGACAGTCACATGGCTAAATTAGAGATCCTTGTGTTAAAGCTTTGTGAATTGTGCATTAAATAATTTACAAATAAAGTTTGCAAACCCCCCCCCTTCCACTGAATAGTGATATACACCCTTCAATTTACATTCTCAGCTTTTGCCTGGAATCAGTCTTGCAGAGAGTGGCTGCCTAAAAAAATTAGGCCTTATAAACCTGAACAGCATTAAGTTCCTTAAAGAAGAACTCTGGGCAAATAAAATCTTAACCCTTGCAGTGGGGCTACACCCGTATTGGAAGGGTTAAGTGCTCATTTTGTCTAGGAGGCTCAAATAAAGCAGATCCCTGGTCCTGCTGGGCTGATTGACCGGTGCCCGAAGCCTCTTGTCACCAGGCTCCAGCGGTCTAAGGGCCGTTGACATCATCACATCTAATGCAGGCCCATTGACTTGCATTATAGGTGAGGACACTGAGGGACATTCCATAGCCGGAGTAGAGTTGGAGAGGTGATACCAGAGTTATACTCACTCGAACTGTGATCCCGGCTGGCTCCTAGATCAGTCCGTTCAGCCTGCCTCCTCCTCTGCTCCAGCAATGCAATGTCCTTGAGCATCATCACGTTCTATACACTGTATAGGACGTGATCCACCGGAGCAGAGGGGAACACGGGCTGAAGGGAGCGGCAGTGGGGAAGCTGGGGCAAAGGCTAGGAGAAGTTCTCAAGGGAGAAGTTCTCCATCCACACACCCATTGGCACCCCTCCTAAAATAGGCACCCGGGGCACATGTCCCCCCAGCCCCCCTAGCTTTGGCCCTGCCTGTGTGTATTGTAAAGTAGCCACCACTCCAAGCGTGCTCCATTTATTGGACTACAATCTCATGTTTAGTTTAATTTGTATTGAGATTGTAGTCAGGGCGTCCCGAGGTTGGGTGACACCCGGAGCAGTAACCGAGTGTCACCCCGCCGAGACGTCACCGCGCATGCGATGATGTCATCGTGCACGCACGGCAGTATTCTGATACCTGACGGCGGCCATCTTGGTGATAGACGCCGGCAGAGAGAGAAGGGGACAGTCACCCGGCGGATAAGGTATGCCGCCGGGTCCCCTCCTCTCTCATAATACTGTCGGGCGTTCGGTCCATGACCGAGCGCCTGACTTTTCAGAGGGGGGTGACACCAAAATGACTGTAAGTCATTTTGGTGTCACCCCTCCAATGGTGTCACCCGGGTGCGGGCCGCACCGCCCGCACCCCCCTTGTGACGCCGCTGATGATTACGTCAGAAGCCCTTAGACTACTGGAGCCTGGGGGACAAGAGGCTGCAGGGACTGGCTCAGCAGCCCAAGCAGGACCGAGGATCAGGTAAGTAAATCTACTTTTTTTTGAGCCTCCTGGATAAGATGAGCACTTACCCCTTGCAGTAGAGGGTAGGCCCACAGCAAGGGTTAAGAGTTAATTTGCCCGGAGCTCTTCTTTAACCTCTTGCCATCCGCCCGTTAAGAAAAAACGGACGGACGGCTGACTCCTATCTGCGGGTTGCCGTCGCCAGACGGCATTTTTTTCCTGCTCGCGCGCGCCCCCTTGCGCGCGCGCACGGGCAGGAAAGACCCGCTTGTTACTACAGCCGTTAACGGCTGTTTACTCATTTTGCATGAAAGGCTCGAACGTCACAGAACCTGAATCTTCTGCCACCATATATATATATATGTGTTGGGCTTTAATGACATGACGCCACGTGCATACAGCCGGACCACTGTTCTGTGCTGGAAATGCGGTCACTTGGCGCCCCAGCGCTGTGATAACCAGTCACCGACAGTTACTGGTTTTATGCTTGAGAGCCGGTAGAATGGGCTTCAGATCATGTGACCATTGACGGCCAATCACAACGATCGGGAGCCCCACTACAGAACCCCTTAAAGGGCTGACTGGCGGTAAAGTACAACTTTCAGGGTAAATTCCTTTAAAAATGACAAGATTTCATAATTTGATATCTTTTGTGGTTATAATGAGGACAATGAATGAGCTCAGGCAGGTGACACCAATAAAGGGAATTTATCAAAACTGCAGCAGGTAAGGTTGCCCATGGTAACCAATCTCTGCAACTCTTCAGTTTGTTCCGTTAAGCTTTGAAACGGAAAGAGAGAAGCTTATTAGTTGCCATGGGCAACTGCTCCTGTATCTCGCTGTATGTGCTGTTCATACACGCTGCTGCTTTGCATGGGGACACTTCTGATCCCCGATTTTAGGGCACCTGTTGAAGAGAAATATATATTTCCTGACAACTCCATTACACCATACAGATGTGGTTTTATGCAGCCATAGATATTAGGGAAGACATTTAGGAAATATATAAGATTAATTTACCTTTAGTAAAATTGAAAGTAAAAATATATTATTTAAAATCACAAGTTTCCTAAAGAAACTTCTAAATGTATCTGTGCGGGGGGGGAGGGTAGCAAGATGGCGCCTCCCTCCTAAGCATGGCCGCAGCAGGGTGTAGCAAGATGGCGCCTCCACGCTTCTCTTCAGAACACGACTGCAGAAGGTGTAGCAAGATGGCGCCTCCACGTCTCTCATAGCAAAGTGATTCCTGCGGGTGTAGCAACATGGCGGTACAAATCTCTCAGCGTGACACGGAATAGCAGCGCCGGAAGTCCTATGCTGCTGTAGTGAAGCCATGTGTTGTTACTGGTCGTATGTATGAGACATGAATGAAGCATAGACCGGGTGATACGGGGTAGAAGAACATGGCGGCCCACACTGTGCAGTTTAAGACCAAGTAAGAAAAAAGCAGGGTTACTGACCTTCACCAAACCGAGATTACTACTACAGGAGAGAGGGCAGAACATGCCGAGTACATGATGTACCTGGTTGCTCATGCTGGGCATTGAGAATCATGTACGTACCTGGCTCATCATGTGGAATGATGTACCTGGCTGCTGATGCTGGCCATCTGGAATGATGTACCTGGCTGCTGATGCTGGGTATTGGGAATGATGTACCTGGCTGCTGATGCTGGCCATCTGGAATGATGTACCTGGCTGCTCATGCTAGCCATCTGGAATGATGTACCTGGCTGCTGATGCTAGCCATCTGGAATGATGTACCTGGCTGCTGATGCTGGCCATCTGGAATGATGTACCTGGCTGCTGATGCTGGGTATTGGGAATGATGTACCTGGCTGCTGATGCTGGGTATTGGGAATGATGTGCCTGGCTGCTGATGCTGGGTATTGGGAATGATGTAACTGGCTGCTGATGCTGTGTATTGGGAATGATGTACCTGGCTGCTGATGCTGGCCATCTGGAATGATGTACCTGGCTGCTGATGCTGGGTATTGGGAATGATTTTCCCTGGCTGCTCATGCCGGCCATTGGGAATGATGTACCTGGCTGCTGAAGCTGGCCATGGGGAATGATGTACCTGGCTGCTGAAGCTGGCCATGGGGAATGATGTACCTGGCTGCTCTAAAGGAAATTGTACAATTAGAATGTATAGTGTGAGGTCAGCCTTAACATTGCTCACTTTTCACAGCGCTGACAGTATAATATACGGAGTATTGTATAATTGATGCATTTCTCTCTTTCAGTTACGCAGTGGAGAGAAAAATTGAAGCTTTCTACAAAGGTGGAAGAGTTCAGGTAATGAAACGGTCTGTTTGTGCTGCAACTTTAAATTATGAGCTTTGTACTGTTCTGAGTTTATTTTGATGTGACGCTTTTTTCTTTCTCTTATTTCTTTCCCCCCAGATCAATAAAGACGGGACTCACCTGTTCTGTACTTGTGGAAATAAAGTTAATATTCTAGAAATTGCTACAGGGGTTGTTGTACGCTCTATAGAACAGGTAATGCTTGTGTATATTCTCCAATCACATCGCTGGGGGCGGGGAGGTGACCTAGCTGTATTGCATTACTGCATCAGAGATAAGTCAGGTCACCAACCTGTCAGAGCTGTGTAAATATCAGGACTGGCTAGACAGACCTACAAATCCTATGGCATATACTGTAGAATAGTCCCGTATATATATGTGTTTCAGTTGTGTGTGTGTGTGTGTGTGTGTGTGTCTATAAAGATTTAAATTATATTTAAATATTATGGATTGACTTGGAATAGTGACTGACCATGTGTTTCTCTTTGTCAGGATGATCAGGAAGACATCACATGCTTTGCTCTTAGCCCGGATGACGAGGTAGGTGTTTTGTTCTAGGAAGGCGCCGGATCCACCAGTTTAAAGTGTACCGTTTGTGTGGAATGAACTGGTGGTAATGGTGCCGACCTCTCTCACAATTTTCCACTGACTGGTACAGCTTCTGTATTCACCCTTTTACAATGTCGGCATCAAACCGCCACCATCCAGGCTGATAAAATATTTATATATGTGGACAGCCTATTTAGTGTCCGCAGACCATAGTCAGTATGATTCCTGGCAAGCTCTACACCTATGGTTCTCAACTGGTGGGTCACAACCCAAAAGAGGGTCGCAACCCCATGTCCAGCGGGTCTCTGCGTGCATTCCACTACGCTGGGTGAGAGGCTCCTCAGTCTCCCCCTAGCGCAGCACTGTCAGTTCTCACACTGAGCAGTCATTCAAAATATGCTGCCTGGGAGTCGAGTGTCAGCTTGAGGTGGGAGGGGGGTATGGCCACGAGTGAGCTCCATCCATACGTGCATTGCTTACAGCTCTCTCACGTGTCCTATAGAGGTGCCTGGACCGAAGTGATGTCACATTCTGTCTCATAGCACCTCTACAGGGCACGCAAGGGACATGTGCAAGCAATGCATGCATGGATGGAGCTCCATAGCAGCCCACACTGGACCCCAGGCTGAGGATCCACTTCAGTACTCGTAAGGTAGGGAGAGAGAGAACATTTTTGGGAGTGTGTGAATGTGGTTGTGTGTGTGTCTGTCAGTGTTTTTGACGACCTGTTCACACTACTACAGTGCATTAAGCGGACAGTCCCACGTGATGCACTGTACTACGCAATGGCACCTACCATGGATTCTGCTGCTGTGCATTACTCCAGTGGGAAATAGTTGAGAGAACTCTGGTTCATTGAGGGATAAAACAAATGAATATTCACACTCTCTAACTGTACCAAAATTATAAAGGTGATTTCCCTTCTGCCCTTATTCATCTGCCACCCATTCGTGGGGTTTTATCTTCCGCAGATCTTGGTGACAGGCAGCCGTGCCTTGCTTCTCAAGCAGTGGTGTTGGGAGGATGGCTCCTGCTCCCGCACCTGGAAGGCCATTCATACAGCACCAGTTGCCAGCATGACCTTTGACCCCACCTCCACATTGCTGGTTACAGGTAAGTCCCCCCACTTTCCTTTTTACCAGAGTATACACGGGTATTTGTTAAGTCTTTTGATAGTTTGCTTGATAAATGTCCCCACTTAGGTCAGGTACATAACTTTAGTTCATTGAAGGATAACCCTCCTTAAGCCTGCTGATACCTTTTTGTATGCTCCACTGATGCACTTTTGACCTTGGTATATACCCAATGTTTTCAGATATGGAGGGCCATGTGATCTCCTGGGATGCAGTGCTTGCCCCTGAATGGCCATTTGCTAGTCCCTAAACCTGTCACCTGATATGTAGGAGGAAGACAGTAACCCTTTGTAAGCTCCAACACCATCCTACATGGAGCTTACACAGGTAAGCACTGCAATTGAGGAATGGAGCAGATATTAGCAGTGATCTTATCAAAGAAGAACCTGTCACTTTGGCCTGAATGGCCAAACTGACAGATCACTTTATGAAATATTTTATTTTTGGTAGAATGATACAATTGTTTCTTTGTTGGACAGTAAAACAAAAAAAAAGTTTTATAAGCGCTGTTAACAAAGCACAGAACATGACCCATGAGAAATCTAAAAAACACAGATGATGGCATCTCAATGGCTGTGACAATGTTACAGTAGTAGACAGACAATGGTCAGAGAGTGTAGGCATAATGCAGGAGATGGTCAGAGTGTAGACATGCTGCAGGAGATGGTCAGAGAGTGTAGGCATGCTGCAGGACATGGTGAGAGAGTGTACGCATGCTGCAGCAGATGGTGAGAGTGTAGGCATGCTGCAGGAGATGGGCAGAGAGTGTAGGCAGGCTACAGCAGGCGATGGGCAGAGAGAGCGCAAGCAGGCTACAGCAGGCGATGGGCAGAGAGAGCGCAAGCAGGCTACAGCAGGCGATGGGCAGAGAGAGCGCAAGCAGGCTACAGCAGGCGATGGGCAGAGAGAGCGCAAGCAGGCTACAGCAGGCGATGGGCAGAGAGAGCGCAAGCAGGCTACAGCAGGCGATGGGCAGAGAGAGCGCAAGCAGGCTACAGCAGGCGATGGGCAGAGAGAGCGCAAGCAGGCTACAGCAGGCGATGGGCAGAGAGAGCGCAAGCAGGCTACAGCAGGCGATGGGCAGAGAGAGCGCAAGCAGGCTACAGCAGGCGATGGGCAGAGAGAGCGCAAGCAGGCTACAGCAGGCGATGGGCAGAGAGAGCGCAAGCAGGCTACAGCAGGCGATGGGCAGAGAGAGCGCAAGCAGGCTACAGCAGGCGATGGGCAGAGAGAGCGCAAGCAGGCTACAGCAGGCGATGGGCAGAGAGAGCGCAAGCAGGCTACAGCAGGCGATGGGCAGAGAGAGCGCAAGCAGGCTACAGCAGGCGATGGGCAGAGAGAGCGCAAGCAGGCTACAGCAGGCGATGGGCAGAGAGAGCGCAAGCAGGCTACAGCAGGCGATGGGCAGAGAGAGCGCAAGCAGGCTACAGCAGGCGATGGGCAGAGAGAGCGCAAGCAGGCTACAGCAGGCGATGGGCAGAGAGAGCGCAAGCAGGCTACAGCAGGCGATGGGCAGAGAGAGCGCAAGCAGGCTACAGCAGGCGATGGGCAGAGAGAGCGCAAGCAGGCTACAGCAGGCGATGGGCAGAGAGAGCGCAAGCAGGCTACAGCAGGCGATGGGCAGAGAGAGCGCAAGCAGGCTACAGCAGGCGATGGGCAGAGAGAGCGCAAGCAGGCTACAGCAGGCGATGGGCAGAGAGAGCGCAAGCAGGCTACAGCAGGCGATGGGCAGAGAGAGCGCAAGCAGGCTACAGCAGGCGATGGGCAGAGAGAGCGCAAGCAGGCTACAGCAGGCGATGGGCAGAGAGAGCGCAAGCAGGCTACAGCAGGCGATGGGCAGAGAGAGCGCAAGCAGGCTACAGCAGGCGATGGGCAGAGAGAGCGCAAGCAGGCTACAGCAGGCGATGGGCAGAGAGAGCGCAAGCAGGCTACAGCAGGCGATGGGCAGAGAGAGCGCAAGCAGGCTACAGCAGGCGATGGGCAGAGAGAGCGCAAGCAGGCTACAGCAGGCGATGGGCAGAGAGAGCGCAAGCAGGCTACAGCAGGCGATGGGCAGAGAGAGCGCAAGCAGGCTACAGCAGGCGATGGGCAGAGAGAGCGCAAGCAGGCTACAGCAGGCGATGGGCAGAGAGAGCGCAAGCAGGCTACAGCAGGCGATGGGCAGAGAGAGCGCAAGCAGGCTACAGCAGGCGATGGGCAGAGAGAGCGCAGGCAGGCTACAGCAGGAGATGGGCAGAGAGAGCGCAAGCAGGCTACAGCAGGAGATGGGCAGAGAGAGCGCAAGCAGCCTACAGCAGGAGATGGTGAGAGAGTGTAGGCAAGCTACAGCAGGTTGTGAGTGGGCATATGCTTCAGGAGACAATCATAGACTGGGGAGACATTACAGAAATGCCAACGGGTTGGGCACGGGGGGTATAGGTAGACACAGACTCTTTTAGACAGTCGGATCTGTGAGCTCACTAGATTAGCTGGGACTTGCAGTAAAACACTGCATTCTTTGGTTTCTGGAGCCATAATTGATTTTAGGATTACTTTTACCAATGTCTCAAGACTGCATCATTTCTCTTTGTATCTACAGGAGGCTGTGACAGCACCATCAAGATCTGGGATGTCCTCAAGCAGTACTGCACCCATAACTTGAAAGGATCATCTGGAGTTGTCCAGTATGTTTTGTTTTTTTGAGGTTATGAAATTTTTTTTGAAAGGTAGCTCATAATATCTTTAGGGATTATTAGGCACTTCCACATGGGTTGCATGGAGGCCTTCCTGTTCTTGACCTCTAATATAATCCATATTTGTTTAGGCATTTTGGGGAAAGAAGGTCTCTTGAGTTGCTGAGGTTTTTTTTGAGAAGCACATGGTGGTCATGATTTTCATATTCCGAAGTTAGCATTTTGTGCAGCAATGGTTAGCTGGTGCAGCAATGGGGTCCTTGGTTCGAATCCTGGCCAGGACACTATCTGCAAGGATTTAACATGCTGTCCAATGTTTGGTGTGGGTTTTCTCCGGGTACTGTTTCTCTCTGGTCTTCTCCCGCTCTCCTGAAGCTGGCCGTACACCTGTAGATTATCTGCAGATTTTCTATGGTCAGATGGAAAAAGTGCAACACATTCCTCCATCTACGCCAAACTGTGTGTATGGAGGAATCTCCCGCTGGGCCAAGCTTCAGTATCTTGCTAGTCAGCCCCGCTGGCTGTCAAAATACCTGAACAGTCTGATTGGATGCCGGCATAGTTCCGGTGTTTTGAGAGCCAGCGGTGCCGACCAGCAAGATTATGGAAGCTTGGCCCAGGTGAAGATTACTCCATCCACACAGTTTAGCGTAGATGGAGGAATCTGTTGCACCTTTTCCATCTGACCACAGAAAATCTGCAGATAATTGTAAGGTGTATGGCCAGCTTAAGACATGCTGGTAGGTTAATTGGCTCTTGTCCAAATTGGTCCTAGTGTGCGGGTCACTACTGCAGCCTCCTATTGCAGGCCCTGGTAACACTCTGTCACTGTTTCAGGCGTGGCGTCACAAAAAAGTACAGTTCTAAGGTTAAGAAGTGCACCAAAGTTCTTAATGTGGTCCTGGTAGTAAGGATTGGGAAGGGAGGAAGTTAGTTTAGTAAGGTCACTGTTATAACTAGTTTGCTTGAAACTTGTTAAACCCCGGCTATATATGGTGGGCATGTTTGGTGTTCTGCCAAAATAAACATAAATTGAATCTTCAGATCTCCTTTGCATGGATTAGTAGTATTGTGTATACAATTTTAGATCATCTTTAATTTAGTGAATAATGACCTGACATAGCTCCTGATTGTATCTCCTGCCCTCTTGTTCCTGCAGTTTGGTCCAGTTCCATCCTGACATGTCCCGGTTGCAGCTATTCTCTTCCAGCATGGATTATAAGATCCGCATCTGGGATCTGAAGTCCAGCAAGTGCGTGTCTGTACTGGAGGCCCACTACAGTGCTGTCACCTCCCTCTGCTTCTTCCCTGATGGGAACACCATGATCAGGTGAGATGCTTCTAATTGTATTCTGAATTGTTTGACATTTTGGTTAATTAAGTGCCAATATCAATCAATAATAGAGCAACTAATCCGCAGCAGTCATGTCAAAGAAAAAGGCTCTCAACTGCCATGTGAAAATTAGCGGAACATTTTAAGAGGTTTCTATACAATGATGAATATTCCTTGCGCAGATCTTCACCCCTTCCCCTTTGTGGGTATTGTCTTTTTATTAATATGTGATGTATTGAGCATTAGATTATGTGTCATGATACCAGGGATGTGAGCCCACAAGCGAGCAGATGGCACGGGATCCCCCAGGGTGCGGGATCTAAAAGTGCCAGCCGGTGTTCTGCCAGGGACTCCCTCACGGAAGTTTGACTTAGCTGAGTGCTGACCCCTGGGTTCACCCTACAGGCGCAAGGAGAGTACCCAAACATACGGGGTGGAGAAGGGTGCTGCGTTCGAGGCAGTGTTGGCAAAAGCAAGAAGGCAGCAAAGAAAAGGGCGACCTAGAAATTCGGCTACAGGTCGGGGCTGGCAGCAGACAAATGTAGTCAAGAGAAATAAGCCTAGTTGGTGCTTGAAAATCAGTCAAGGAAAAACAGGTCAGGAACAGACACAAATGGGAGCTCGGAGGCAGCAGGAATGTTGCTCAAGCAAAGAAAATTGGTCTGAGCAGGCTTTAAATAGGGAGAAAGAGATAGGACAGCAAGTAGCAGCAGGCAAGGTATCAGGTGAACTGAGCAACACCCATGGCCTCTAGCTGTGTGAAGCAAGAGCAGAGCACATGCATGTAGAACCACAGGTGCCAACAGACCCTCAGCAGCAATAAGGTAAAAACAAATGTAAGCCTGCAGAAGCACAGGTAACAGATCAGCTCTGCAACGGATCTGTGACATTATGATATATTCCTTGTAACCCTTTTCACTATTGGTCCTTGAGAAGTGAATGTAATCTGTGAATTGTGGCGACCATTTTATTCCTGTGTGAAATGGGACATTGATATCAATGATGCTTTCTAATGATGGTGGTCTAAAATTTGTGAATGTCATTTTTTGCTTTTAAATTATTTCCACGGATCTTTTAGGAATACGGTATGATTATTCTGTCTTGTATATATTCATACTTTTTAATATTTTTTTAAACATACAGACAGTTCCCGGGTTACGGACGTCCGACTTACAGACAATCCGTACTTACGAACCGGGGTCCACAGTTCTCCTAAATGTACCGGCTGCAGCCGGTACATTTAGGAGAACAGTGGCTGCAGCGGCCTGTGTGCCTTCAAATCCCCGCTGCTCTCCGCGCCTGTGTTGGCGGAAGCAGCGTGGACACAGACCGCTGCATTCCTAGCTGTTCCCCGTACATCCGCTGATGTCGCGGCGTCCTCTTCCACCGATCCATTTCTCTCCTGGTCCGGCCGCGGCTCCTAAGCCCCGCCCCCCTTCCTCCTCTTCATTGTAGGCTGTGAGCCATACCCAGCCTGCTATTGGATATTGTAAATGCAATAGCCAATAGCAAGCTGGCTATTGCACCCGCCCAATGCCTGCTGTCCATCAGCATGGGAGTACCTGATGGAGAACTTTCTCCTTCAGGCCCCTCCTTTGCTGATTGACAGCAGGCAGTGGGCAGATGCAAGCCTGCTATTGCAATTTGAAATATCCAATAGCAGGCTGGGTATGGCTCCCAGCATTAAAATAATACAAAAAAAGGGTTTAAAAAAATAAAATTAAAAAGACAAAAAAAAAGTTAAGTAAATAAAATAAAAAAATTTAAAAAAAAATAAAGTATAAAAAATTAAAAATAGAAAAAAAAATGTTTGCTGTGTCGTGTTAAATGAAACATTTTTTAAATTATATTATAAATATTATAATCTTCTGAACAACAGTAACAGACAGCAAAACAAATGTGACCCTTCCCTATGCTATCCAAAACGAAAAAAAAATTTTTGGGGCTGAAATTGCACTTAAAAAAATTACCTGTTCCGACTTGCATACAAATTCAACTTAAGTACAAACCTAAAGTCCCGATCTTGTATGTAACCTGGGAACTGCCTGTATATTTGTTTCATATGTTGCGAGATGCAACCTACAAAATCCCACTGTCATACTGACTTCTTTTTGAAATGATCAAGGGTTCTCATGCATGTGGGCGTTTCCTTCATCCCAAAAAGTGATGTTACACCAATAAAACCATGTTTTGCTCTTTTTTTTTATGCTTGGTTTTTAGACAGGCATTTACATTTTTATTACTGCTTCTTCACTAGAAAAATGTCCGCTTTCTGACGGCACTTTTAGCTTTGTCAACTGCCAATTTGCAACAAAGCGTGGCTAACGTACTCTCCTAGGTCACAATCACAATGCACCTTCCCTTTATTTCATTAAAGAAAGTAAAAGCTGCTTCATAACAAAGCCGAGGTTATTCATCTGTATTTTCATTGTGATTTTTTTTTTTCTTCCTTTCAGTTCTGGAAGAGATAAAATTTGCACCGTGTGGGATCTGGAGACCAAAACCTCAAAAAGGACAGTGGCGGTGTATGAGGTATGGCAGCCTTAAATGCATGCAGTGCTGGAAACTGGCATAGGAGAGCATGAGACGCTGTATATTCTGGAAAGTAGCAGCTTGTCTTCTTTCTTTATCAATGGCTACTGTTTTTGACAAAAACGTTTCACATTTGTCATACAAAACATTGCTAGGCTGCTTCTCATATCTGGCTAATCTAGTGCAGACAACCCCAATCATTATTTCTGGGTCATACATTGCAGGACAACAGCTAATAATGATAGGATAATATACCCTATAGGAGCTTATGTTCTCTTCTCTTATGGATCATATCCCAGAAAAAGACACTTCTAGTACCTTAAATTAGCATTGACAACTAGTAGCAACAACTTGTTCGAGCAAAATGGTTGAGTATTGTTCTCTATAAAAACCCAAAATGAATTAATTGGGTATCTGCAGACACACTGGGTCGTGTACTTCTCTATAGGTTGAACTCGATGGACATGTGTCTTTTTTCAACCTGACTATGCAACTATGTGTAGAGGTTTAGCATTCCAGGGGGGAGTTTCGGTGACCCATAAAATGACTTCCTTCCAGGGAAGTCGAGTTGTGAGCGTGCTCATTTTCTAGAGTTGGTCTAGTCCTAAAAAATTTAATTTAGGGGAGAGACCACTGTTTGGCTCGAACTCTGATGCTAAGTTGTTAGTTGGATCTGTGGACTTTGCAGTGTGCTCAAATAGTACTTCCATCAACCACTCGCCCCGCATAGTGCACGTGGGGGTACCATTGGGCAAAATACTGTAGTCTTTCCCCAGAAATTAGGCAAAAGGAAGAGTGATGGGGGAAGAGAGAGAAGAGATATAGAAGTACGGTCAGAGAGAGGAAAAAAGAGGGGGTGTTAGGTGAGCCGCGGGAAAGGTAAGGGGTAGGTGAGTTGGGAGAAGGAGGTGTCGGGGTGGGGTAAGGTTGAATTTTTCTTTTTTTAATGCAAAGGTCATTCTAATATCTATGTGGTGTGTTCCAGAGTGTGGAAGTGACGCTGTGTCTCCCGGAATCATCAGATGTGATTGGCAGGGAAGATGATGCCGAGTCCCTCCTCTTCGTTACAGCTGGCAGTAAAGGTGAGTTGCTGTGCTGCATTGGTAAATGGGAAACACAGCATGTACTAACCGTAGCACATGTGACTCTGCCCACATACATGCATGACTAAAAATGTTACATAGAAACCACATATGTCAATGAGGTCTGTTATAGTGTGGTGGTCACATGCACAACCATACCTGAAAGAAAAATGTGTTGGAGACGAAAGATTATCCATGCGATAAGGGAAAGGCTTTACACCTTCAATCAGGTAGTGTAAGGCACGCAGGTGTAGGTACTTTTCAAATGAATGATTTTTATGGGTTCTATCAGGCAGTACAGATTTTTTTAATGAGTATGAAACTGGCACTCGCTGTGTACTTGAATCCTCATCTGGTTGGGCATCCACCAGACTACCCCATGCTACGATATGCAAATATCGTCCACCTCCTGTGGTCAACAAATGTACCTGCAAAGCTGTTGGGCCAATGATGGGCCATGGCCTCACTAACCAATAGAAAGGCTCAGGTGGCAGTAGCGGGCTGCCAGAACTAGTGACAAGAAAGCTGGCAGCATGTCTAGTATTTGGGGATAATTCTAACCAGATGTTCAGGCACCTGGTTGCGCCTTTACTGAATAGTGAAGTGCTGAGTTCAAAGCTTGTATACATCCACAGGTTTACTTTAGTTATTTTATCTGACAACCAATGCCATTATAATTCTGAGACTGTCAGCTGATGAAGATAAATAAAGCCAATAACAGCCCCATCTTGGTGTCCGCCCCTTTCTCTTTGCTTCTCATGCAGGTTCTCTTTGAAGCCTAACTCAAAGTTTTGTGAAAAGTACATCAAAACAGTGAATGTGAAGCAAAAAAAACATTTTAAAAACTCCTAGCATCCTTTGTGTATCCACAGTGACAGCCCACAACTTCAGTCCCCTGGCATTTAGCTGTAAGGATGTGCGTGGACTTGGTGGGAACCGGTTTTACTCAAGCCCACGCAAAACTTTCAGTGATACCCCCCCCCCCCCATGCAATTTATACATCTAGACATTCCCTATAACTCGGCAAATCTTCACTTATTGAGTTCAGGTCTACCTTAATGTTACCCGTTGTTGGATGACAGGTATCTTGCGGGTATGGGATGCGGCCACCTCCAGGTGTGTGTACAGTCAGAGTTTGCCTCACACCAGCAAGAATACGTCGGAGGAAGAGGCCGATGAGCACAGCCTGACTCACTGCCTGCTCCTGCCCAATCGGAGGGAGGTTGTCACCGTCACGGCTGAACACAACATCCTCATGTACGATCTTCAGGACCTGCAGCTGAAGAAACAGGTACGGCCGAAATAGTAAATCATTGTCTTCAGTTACAAAAAAATATCCAACCAAAGTTTTGAAGAGTTTCACAAAATGCTATTTTCACTTAGAAATGTAGTTTCAGAAAGCCCACAGCAGATTGTTTATTATAGTCTTAAGGTGTATCTAAATCAAGAACAAAAATTTTATATATTTCAGGTTACCAGTCCTCAGATGTGGTGGGTGCATTCGTTTTCTTTTTCAGTCTATTTTTTCCTTTAATGTTCACCTGGTGATCCTGCCAGTACACTTCTTGTCCTAGGGTGACAACATTCATTCACTGTACTGTATCGATGGAGGAGAAGTTGTCACCCTGGGACAAGATAAGAGTGTATCACAAGCCGAGGGCACAGGCAGTTATCCACTTGCCAGATATCTTCAAAATCCTGCCGAAAATCATGTGAGCTGATATCCTCCTGTGACCTCTGCCCGTGTTGCACTTTTATCGTTTAGCATTCTTCCCAGTTGATTGTTTTGGCTTTTGCAGACTTTTGTTCATGGGTTTAGATACACTTTTTATCTGGTCTTCTGTACCAGAGAAAGGTGTTATTGTTGGACTAGAGTGGACTTTTTTTTTGTAAGCCTGCAGTGACACCTGAGCTGAGCCTTTTTTTAAGAAGCATCGTTTTGGGGTCTGAGCATTTATTTTTAGCCAATGGAAAGGCCGGAGGAGGTTGTTAGGTGCAAAATGTATGTTTGCATGTTAGTCAAGTCTGTGGGGCCAAAATGCTTAATTCTGCCTGGAAAGAAGCTCATGTACTTTTACAAGCTCAGGTGTGAACAGGCACCATTGAAAATAATAGAATTGTGCACTGTTGGGCTTCAGGAAACGTGACAGAATGCTCAGGTGTGAATGGGGGCTAGGGGTCCGCTATGGGAGCACACTGGTGGTTTCAACCAAAATTTTAGTGTTTATTTAATTGCTAGCTCCCTTGCTGTCCTCCTACTTTTTCATCTTTAGTCCCCTTTCACACAGGCTGATCTGTAGGGGATCAATGCACGGTTCCCTCCTGATCGGATCTGATCTCACTACTGCGACACCCATGCCGTCCAGTTTTAAGAACTAAAACTGCTGAACCCCCTGTTGGTCTATGGGGAGTCAGATGTAAACGGACATGTATCTGTTTACATCAGACTACCCCCGATCCAGCAAGATCAGGTCCGGCAAAACGGAACACTGTTCAATTGGTTTATCCGGACCTGGCCAGGGAGTCAGGGGTACCTGGATGTAAACGGATGCCCATCTGTTTAGACCCAGCTGCCCATAGACTAGCATTGGGCATCTGATCAGGTCCACCTGACAAAACTGACATACGGACCCGATCGGACCACCAGTGTGAAAGGGGCCCTTAGTCTGTCCTCCAGCCCCCTATTCTGCTATTATAAAAATCCTCGTATATTATATGTGACGTATATTATAAATGAACCTGTTTTTAACCCAGTTTGCAGGCTACAATGATGAAGTCCTGGATGTGAAATTCCTGGGCCCGTCCGATTCTCACATCGTGGTGGCTACAAACAGCCCCCAAATTAAAGTCTTCGAGCTGGCAACCTCCAACTGCCAGATCCTGTACGGCCACACAGGTAAGGAGCTGTTCTTGTTCTGGAAGATTCCTTTTTTAAAGCTTAAATTGCAACTAAACCTGACAATGTAACTGTTTCCCAAAAGCAAAGCTGAAATTAGAAATGTTCGGTAAATGTTATAAATTCGTACGGTGGAACTTTGGGCAACATGAAAAATGAGTCCCCCCCCATAACATAGCAATGTCCATTGGCATTTGAGAGACATCTATCAATAAAATGGATTTGCACTGATTTGGAAGCTCTGCGTGCTGGTGACATGCTTATTGAAACCCCCATAACATAGTTTACATTACCTGATAAACCTGCCAGTAAGTTTGTTATCTTTTACATTTCTTTTAACACACCAAGCTGGCAGTCAAAAGTGTCAGGTAGACCAGGGGTGGGCAACCCTGGCCCTCCCGCTGTTGTAGAACTACAAGTCACATGCGGCATTGCAAGACTGACAATCACTGTCATGACTCCTAGAGGCAGAGGCATGTTGGGATTTGTAGCTAGAGAACAGCTGGAGGGCCGGAGTTGCCTACCCCTGAGTTAGAGGGTTGATGCAATTCATTTAACACGGACAACGGTGCTTACATTAGTCAGCTTTCCACAATGCTGCCTTGAGGTGGGCTGCTCTGAACATATATATTCCTGCAAGTGTCAGTGTGTTTTTTAAAAAGTAGTTTTTGTTTTTTGCTATTTCATAATGCAGCTCTTTTGCTGATATCCACAAGGAGGCAGTATGAAATATTTTTTTCTACATCCTTATTAATGTAGAATTAGCAGCATCTGAAGCTCCCAAAGTGTTTGAGACCAGACCATTCATTTTAACAGGTTTTTTCCCCTGTAAGATTATATGTGCATTTATATGTCAATTGACTCTCTATCTAAGAAGGAGAGAAGTAGCTGGGCCGGCACAGAAGATTGCAGATCCCCAGAGTAGGAAAGGGCTATGCCATGCAAGGAGAGGGGGGGTTGTGCTAGGGAATTGAGTCTTTCTGAAATAGTCAAATTTGCTAACAAGTTAAAGGAGAACTATGAGGTGAGTGCTTTTCCCTCACCTCATAGTTCTAAGCCGACCTGTGACAATGAGACTGTCACAGGTCGGCTCAGTAGATCGGGAGGTGAGGGAACACATACCGGGTTCCCTCACCTCTCGATCCTGTCACGGCTCTCTGCCGTGACAGGGGGAGGGGCTGGATTCCCCTCTCCCCGCTCCGATCTGCCAGCGTTGACTGGCGGAACGGACGGGGGAGGGGGCGGGTACATCTGGCTCTGCCTCTAGATAGGCAGAGCCAGCTGTCACTCACGCAGCTGGGCGGATCCCGTCATCTACGTCGGGATCCGCTCCAGGTGCGGCGTCTCAGTATACCGCGAGCTGTAGCTCGCGGTATACTGAGCTTAGGGTAACGGGAGGACGCTAGTTTGTGTCCTCCCGCTACCCTAAGGAGAACTATGGGGAAAAACACTGACCCCATAGTTCTCCTTTAAGAATCACCCTGCAAGAATAAAACAATTTTATGGAAAAGAAAAAGATTGCGTGTAGTCATTTAAAACACTTGATTTTTCTGTTGTTTTGTACGCAGTTGCAATGTGCAAGTATGGCCAGCTTACCTTACAAGAGGCTTTGCACACTTCTCTGCCAATAATTTCACTTTAATTCCACCTTAGGTTGGTGACTTTTTAAATGTGTTCATAAGTATTCCACTGAAAGAGTAAATGACCAATACAGCTGCATGATTCGTTTACGGCTGCAACTAATGATTATTTTCAGAATCGATTAGTTGGCCGATTTTATTTTTTCGATCGGATAAAAAAATTAAATGAAACGCCATCCTAAATGTAAAATAAAATACACACATGCAGTGTTACAAAGTTTACTTCAGAATAAAACTGCATGCACAATTTTTTGCAGTGGCACTGCACTGGAGCGCACGACATTGTGGTAACGTGCGGTCCAGTGCGGGAGATCACACTGTGGGTGGGAGGTGCGTTTGGGGTGCCATTGAAATGAATGGCACTGCAACGCACCTCCCGCAGCAGAATTTATCAGGCCCAAAACTGAAAAGACAGTGCTAATGGCTGCCAGCTGAACAATCCACTTGCTGTTGCACACTCAAAGTTTTCAACACTTTATCACAGTTTCTTACACCACGAATATAGAAAACAAAAGGGAACAGAGCGCCACCTCCGTGTGTAAAATCGTTTATTACAATAAATAAAACAAGGGATAAAAGTACTCGCAAACAAACATTTTCATCAGGCTTTAACAACAAATGAGAGGCCACACTGTCTGTTAACCCAACATGGTATATCCCCGACCATGTAACACGGTAGTCTCCGGTCACATCACCGTCCACCGACCGCAGTCAGCCAAGATTGACTTGTTTCAGGGGCAAGCCCCCTTACTCAGAATCATCTGAAACTGAAAAGGACTTTTTTTTTTTTTTCTTCTCACCTTTTTTTTTGAATTGTTTTTTTTAATAATTGTATAGTAAGCACATGGCGCTTGAATAGCTTCAGCCGAGCAATGACAGCTGCCAGTGGCAAGATTCCGTGGACAACAGCTGAGTGTAAATACAGCAGGTAGTGAGCTGGTGCAATAGCCAAGTTCTGCCGGATGAAGGGGATCCTGTGTAACCCCGAAACGTTGCATTATGTGTATCGCACTGTGCTACTCGTATGTCAAGAAACAGACGTATTTGATTCACTTTTGGAGTCCCGGTGTCTCTTCATATTCCACTTGATATCTACTACGGTTGCCAGCCGTCGACTACCGCAGCACCCACCCTTATTTGTTAGAAAACGGTGGTTTCTGAATGCGAAGGGTTCATGGACTTTTTTTTTGGTGCAATAGCCAGCCTGCTATTGGCCATTTCAAATTGCAATAGTCAATAGCAGGCTGGCTTTTTCACCCGGCCACTGCTTGCTGTGCCCTCCTTCCAGCGTGGAGGAGAGAGCTAGGGGATCCAACCAACTAATCCATAATGAGAATAGTTGACAATCAATTAGTTGGTTGCAGCCCTAGATTGGTGCATTAGGATACGATTGCTGTGTTACAATGTTTACTTTTTGCTCTCATTGATGCTTATGTTTTCTAGAAACTGTTCTGGCACTTGACGTCTTTAAGAAAGGATTTATGTTTGTCACCTGCGCTAAGGTAAGCTTTCCACACTCAGCACGAATGACAGCCGATAGTGTGTATAATTTTGACTTTAAAGGGAATCGTCAACAGATGTATGAGAATAATGATGTTGCTCGCTTTAAAGAGAACCTGTACTGTGGAAGCTGTGCCCAAAAAAAGAGAGTAAAGGGTTAGTCACCTGAATTGCCTGTAGGCTCTCTGCAGCTGGTCTTTATACCTTTTTTTTTGATTTACCATGCCTGCTTCTGAAGCCAAGTCTCTGTGTTGAGGTAAGCCAAGTTTCTGTTCATGTCAGAGCTCTCTGTCTGGTTCTGAAGCCAAGTTTCTGTTCATGTCAGAGCTCTCTGTCTGGTTCTGAAGCCAAGTTTCTGTTCATGTCAGAGCTCTCTGTCTGGTTCTGAAGCCAAGTCTCTGTTCATGTCACAGCTGCCCTCTGAGGACTGGTAGTGATTGGCTCGGGCGTGTTCGCAGCTCCATGTGCCGAGCCTGCCAGGAAGCTGGCAGTGCCAATCACAGGTACTGAGACATTTCCCGATCTCTGCAGCTGCGGACCGGGATAATGTCTCAGTACCTGTGATTGGCGCTGCATTACAGCAGTACCTGTGATTTACTTTGGAAGCTGTCAGCTTTATGGCGGGCTCGGCATGTGGAGCTGCGAACACGCCCGATGACTGGTAAGGTCATGATCAAGAAGCAGCAGGCCGGGTTCAGAAAGCACAGATTGAATAAAGAAAAGGCAGGGAGATCCTTGTACTGCCGGTCCTTAGGGACAGCTTTAACACCAACAAACAGAACAGTGAGCAGCACAGTCATGACATGAAATCAATAGCTTCACTCCCTAGCCAGTCAATGACCTTATGAACAAGTCTGCAAAGTGAACTGTTTCAGACCTCTGGTTGCACGCTTGTTGCAGGTCAGTGACTCACTAGGAAGTGATAACAGGATAGGGGTAACAGCCCCAGCTTTGGCAGCTCCTACGTCGCCATCCTCACAGGTTTACTTGGCACGCAGCTATATAGCGGTGCTTACTACTTGCAAAAAGAAGTCCTTCATAGGCAAATTTAAAGTCAGCTTCACCTCAGACCCTTTGTTAAGCACATAATGTTTGGGTGCAATCTAGTTCTTCCCTCTTATGCATAATAGTCCTTTGGCATTAAAACTGGTTTCTCACTAGGGGGAAAATGTGGCCGTTCATCTTATTATGGATTAGGGTTGAAGGCAAATTTAAAGAAGAACTCTGGGAATTTCATAAACTTACTCTTGCAATGGTACTTCCCTTGCACTTAAAGGGTTAAATGGGACTCGATTAAAGCAGATTTACTCACCTGATCCTCAGTCCTGTGGTGGTCAGTGCTCGCCTATCCCACTCTGCTGTGGCTATGGGATGTCCTTCAGCGTCCTCACATCCAATGCAGTTTAATGGGCCTGCATTAGACGTGATGACGTCCGCGGTCCTTAGACTGCCGGAGCCCGGGGGAGAAGAGGCTGCAGGGGTTCGGTCTAGCAGCCCAGCAGGGCAGAGGATCAGGTGAGTAATACAACGTTATTAGAGCCCCATGGGCAAAACGAGCACTTAACCCTTGCATTTTTTTGGTGCAATAGCCAGCCTGCTATTGGCCATTTCAAATTGCAATAGTCAATAGCAGGCTGGCTTTTTCACCCGGCCACTGCTTGGTGTGCCCTCGTTCCAGCGTGGAGGAGGGAGCTAAGAGCTAGGGGATCCAACCAACTAATCCATAATGAGAATAGTTGACAATCAATTAGTTGGTTGCAGCCCTAGATTGGTGCATTAGGATACGATTGCTGTGTTACAATGTTTACTTTTTGCTCTCATTGATGCTTATGTTTTCTAGAAACTGTTCTGGCACTTGACGTCTTTAAGAAAGGATTTATGTTTGTCACCTGCGCTAAGGTAAGCTTTCCACACTCAGCACGAATGACAGCCGATAGTGTGTATAATTTTGACTTTAAAGGGAATCGTCAACAGATGTATGAGAATAATGATGTTGCTCGCTTTAAAGAGAACCTGTACTGTGGAAGCTGTGCCCAAAAAAAGAGAGTAAAGGGTTAGTCACCTGAATTGCCTGTAGGCTCTCTGCAGCTGGTCTTTATACCTTTTTTTTTGATTTACCATGCCTGCTTCTGAAGCCAAGTCTCTGTGTTGAGGTAAGCCAAGTTTCTGTTCATGTCAGAGCTCTCTGTCTGGTTCTGAAGCCAAGTTTCTGTTCATGTCAGAGCTCTCTGTCTGGTTCTGAAGCCAAGTTTCTGTTCATGTCAGAGCTCTCTGTCTGGTTCTGAAGCCAAGTCTCTGTTCATGTCACAGCTGCCCTCTGAGGACTGGTAGTGATTGGCTCGGGCGTGTTCGCAGCTCCATGTGCCGAGCCTGCCAGGAAGCTGGCAGTGCCAATCACAGGTACTGAGACATTTCCCGATCTCTGCAGCTGCGGACCGGGATAATGTCTCAGTACCTGTGATTGGCGCTGCATTACAGCAGTACCTGTGATTTACTTTGGAAGCTGTCAGCTTTATGGCGGGCTCGGCATGTGGAGCTGCGAACACGCCCGATGACTGGTAAGGTCATGATCAAGAAGCAGCAGGCCGGGTTCAGAAAGCACAGATTGAATAAAGAAAAGGCAGGGAGATCCTTGTACTGCCGGTCCTTAGGGACAGCTTTAACACCAACAAACAGAACAGTGAGCAGCACAGTCATGACATGAAATCAATAGCTTCACTCCCTAGCCAGTCAATGACCTTATGAACAAGTCTGCAAAGTGAACTGTTTCAGACCTCTGGTTGCACGCTTGTTGCAGGTCAGTGACTCACTAGGAAGTGATAACAGGATAGGGGTAACAGCCCCAGCTTTGGCAGCTCCTACGTCGCCATCCTCACAGGTTTACTTGGCACGCAGCTATATAGCGGTGCTTACTACTTGCAAAAAGAAGTCCTTCATAGGCAAATTTAAAGTCAGCTTCACCTCAGACCCTTTGTTAAGCACATAATGTTTGGGTGCAATCTAGTTCTTCCCTCTTATGCATAATAGTCCTTTGGCATTAAAACTGGTTTCTCACTAGGGGGAAAATGTGGCCGTTCATCTTATTATGGATTAGGGTTGAAGGCAAATTTAAAGAAGAACTCTGGGAATTTCATAAACTTACTCTTGCAATGGTACTTCCCTTGCACTTAAAGGGTTAAATGGGACTCGATTAAAGCAGATTTACTCACCTGATCCTCAGTCCTGTGGTGGTCAGTGCTCGCCTATCCCACTCTGCTGTGGCTATGGGATGTCCTTCAGCGTCCTCACATCCAATGCAGTTTAATGGGCCTGCATTAGACGTGATGACGTCCGCGGTCCTTAGACTGCCGGAGCCCGGGGGAGAAGAGGCTGCAGGGGTTCGGTCTAGCAGCCCAGCAGGGCAGAGGATCAGGTGAGTAATACAACGTTATTAGAGCCCCATGGGCAAAACGAGCACTTAACCCTTGCAGTGCGGAAGTAGCCCACTGCAAGGGTATGTTTTTTAAATTCCTGGAGTTCTGCTTTAAGGGAGCTTTATTTGTTTATTTCATCTCTACTGTTCTGTGTTAGCTGTACCAACCCATGAGATTGGCTTCCCTATGCTGGCAGCAGCAGAGGACAGCACATAGTTTCCTCTGGGTTTTTTTGTTTTTTTTTCTAAATTAAGCCTTTTTTTTCACCATTGAATTCCTTTCCTGATGATGCTTGTTGCAACAGAAGACTTTCATAGTTTATTATTTAAAGATATAGAGCAATAACCTAGAATCTGAAGCTTTACAGCAATGCAAGTCTGTAATTTTCTATCACTGCTTCCTTTACTTTAGGACAGAACTGTCAGAGTTTGGAAGATGGCAAAGTCTAGTGGAAAGGTGGCTTGTGTTGCCATGGGTGGAGGTCATGCTAACGGTGTTGGAGCAATCTCCTGTTCAAGGTAGGAAAATCTGATGTTAATTGGCTTTTTCCTTTAAAACATTACATTGTAAAGGTGGCCATACACCTGCCGATTATCGTACAATAATCGCGGGAAATCCCGCGATCGTTCGATAATTGGCAGGTGTATGGAAGGCGTGCGACCGTTTCTACTGTACGGTCGCATGTCTTTTGTCACACTCCCCGCTCAACTTTGGAATCATCGGAAGCCCTCCCCGCTGAGCATTGGAATCATCGGAAGACCTCCCCTCAGCGGGGAGGGCTTGCGATGATCGCAAGTACGATCTGCCTGTCCAAGATGGGCAGATCGTATGAGCTTTTAATTACCTTACAACCATCGCAAGACGAAAGTCGTGCGATGGTTGTGAAGTGTATGGCCAGCTTTAGAGGAAATGGCAGACAGCTGTGAACTAATGATTGACTGCCCTGGCATTTCTCTGCAAGCATTGAGAGTACTTGGGAACTACATCCTGGTGAGTTTGGGATATGTGCACATTCATGGTCACCATGGGCATTGTGTATGCTACACCAAGAAATCATTAGTGTATATAAATGCCAATAGAATTTTTGCTGTGGGAATGGCCATCTTAACAAGGTTTAGCTCTTTCAATGTATCTCTATTCTGTTTCACAGCAGCACTAAGCCTATGAATTAGGCAGACTGGCTTTCAATAGAACATGAGCTCTGGAAACTGTGTCCAACAAAAAGGACCTAGTCACCAGGATTAAATTTTGTTTCCTGCAGCTAAGCTTTTTGCCATTTGCCATTTCAGACTTGACGCACTGTGTGTCTGTGTAGAGGCGTCCATCTTGGTAGAGGCAGGGCCTCACTTCCTCAAGTCAGGGTCTCTAACAAGGAGAACAGTGAGCAGCACAGTACTGATATCACCAAATCATACTCCAAATCTCCTGAGACCAAGGGCAGCAGTGTCTTAGCTCTCACACTGCAGATATCGAGCTATGAGGCTGTAGGCATAGAAGTGTCTAGGCACCTACATATACCAAAAAGGTATTTTTCCAGAGGAGAATGAAACCTTAAGGGTATTACTTCGGCACAAGTAACATATCTAAATGTTCCCTATACCATAGCAATTTGTTTATTTTGAGGTCAGGTTCAGGTCAAGTTCAAGCGACTAAAGGTGTGTTAAGCTTGTACTGAAATCTTTATAGGATCATCTTCCTGTCCATGGTTGCACCTATAGTGTTCCGTTTTCAACTTTAGTGTGCATTACCGGCTGTAATGCACACCTAGTGCTGGTCACTGCAGCCTTGCATCTGGTATACAAAGCTCCATGTAGATTGCACATGCTGTGCTGTACTGGCTGTGCGTATTACAGCATGAGGTTGGTTACCTTGGAGGTAAATGAATGCTGTAGACGTAAGCCAGCAAACATATTACTTCAGTGGTGATACCAGGTAAGAAAATGCATTTATTTTGCCTGGTGCAATGGTGCTTCTACAACAAACAAAACTTAACACTGGCAACTACTAACGAACTCTGGTTTTCATTGACAAAGACTTGGGACATGGATGCAGGTGGGGTTATTAACTGATTGTTGTATTTTATCAGACTCAAGCAGTCCTTTATTGTGAGTGGAAGCCAGGATTTAACCTTAAAGGTCTGGAAGCTCCCAGAATCCATTTTCATCCAAAGTAAAGACCAGTTACCTATTATGGAAAGCTTACATGCTGCTTGTACGGAGAAGGCACATGACAAGGTGAGATGTTTGCTCTGAAATAGGATTTTATGTAATCCACTTAATGTAAGCTGTGCTATTAGCGTGCGTTGTCTTTTTAAAATGCTTTGTTTATATCCTACTGCATATATAGATGGGAGAAGCTATATATACTTGTATATACACTCTGCTTGGTAGTGATGCTAAATGTCTTGGACTTTACTCCTGAATTTATGTAGATCAATTTGCTTGTCAGAAGCAAAATAAGTGGCTTATCCTCTAACTAATTCAATGGCTAAGCCCCCAATCATTTGAGGCCCCTGACAGCATTTTATACTACCCCTTATTTTTTTTGAATCCCTACTTTTCAGTATCAGAATTCCAGTATCCTCCGGCTGGTCACGTGATGAGCGGGGTTCTTTTCCTATTGGCCTCTTCCCCCAGGGTGGGCGATCTTTAAGGTCTCAGGCACCCAGGTGCAGATACATGCGTACAGGCATACAGCATAAAATATGCCTATATTTGCAGCCCCGAGAGGACCAGTTGCTGCATTACTCTGTCCATAGGCTTGTATGGACAGAAAATGCTTTGCGCAGGCATACACGTGTAAATGCCAGTGTCGGCATTTGCACAGGGGTAAGTGCCTGAACACAGAAGTTTTGCATTCGGGAAATTGTGCGTATGTAAGTGCCTCATACATAATTTTCTGCCCATATAAGCATATGGACAGAAAAACACAGCAGCTGGGGCTATATGCCTATACGGCTGTATTTACACTTGTGTGCTTGAGCTCTAATGATGCAAAGAATAGTGCTGACTTGAGGATGTCAGTGCTTCTGCATCAATACACTGGAAATGTAGGGTGCCACTGTGACACCCCCTGAGGTGGGTTCATGATGCTCTAAAATCACACTGTCCTCAGTTCGCTGAGCTGAATGGAACTTGAGGACTCAGTATATCTACTGCTGGGAGTGATTTAATGGGGGGGCATCACCGGGAAGGAGGTGAATGTTGCAGATTGTGCTGTATTTTAAATTTATAAAAAAATTTTTTTAGGGCTGTGCAAATTAACGATTCATTTCTCGATTAATCGTTATCTTTTTGATCGATTAAAATTTTTTTGATCGCTAATGAAAATATTCTCTTCTCCGCCGGCTTCCGGGAGTCCCGTTGGAGATCCGGTGACGTCACGGACAACGACGTCACCGGACTCCTCCCCCCTTCCCCAAGTGGCTCCGTCAGCTAACAAAGGGAAGGGGAGAGGAGTCCGGTGATGTCGATGTCCCCAAGTGGCTCCGTCTGCAAGGGAAGGGGGGAGGAGTCCGGTGACGTTGATGTCCCCAAGTGGCTAGAATAGGTCAATGTAGTTGGATCTGTATGTGCGTTATAATTCGAAATTAATCAAACGAAAATTTTAATCAGTAACAGCCCTAATTTATTTTTTTTGGTTGTTGGGTTTAATCTAAGCCAGTATTCAGGAATGCTGATTACACTAACATTGCTTTAGCCAATAGAGAGTTCACCTACATAGGTGTCTATGACATTGAATAGTAATACCATAGCACGGCAAGCACGGACATTTTACAAAATGTCCCAGCGAAGTCTGATCCAATAATGGCCTGATACAATGTTTCCATAGAGCAGAAGTATAACTAGAGATGCTGCAATATGAATTTTAACCAGTAGGAGGTGCAATGTATGAAACTTCAGTCATGGCGCCACATAGTACTGTTCATTCCAATGCACAGAGAGGCTAGAGGTAGTAGAGTTTTATCCATTTACTTTGGAATTTGATATTTAGGATTGTTCCCAGGATGATATCACATTGTGTGCCTGATAAATAAAGGTCTTCATTTGTCATTCTCTCTATGCAGGATATCAACAGCATTGCTGTATCTCCCAATGACAAGCTGATCGTCTCCGGCTCTCAAGACAAAACAGCCAAGCTGTGGTCAGCGGCAGACCTGTCTATGATGGGCGTCTTCAGGGGACACAAGCGGGGCATCTGGTGTGTCCAGTTTTCACCGGCAGATCAAGTTGTAGCTACGTCATCTGCAGATGGATCCCTGAAGCTGTGGGGGCTGCAAGACTTCACCTGCTTGAAGGTAATCAAAATTTGTATATGGGGGGCTCACAAAATGTTACTCTGTCTATGTATCATTTCCCTGAATGTAGGTGTCCAGAGTTGTCTGCTGGTATCTAAAGACATGGCCTACTCTGGCTGAAATGACCTGTACCGTTTTGTCTGTGGATACCGTATATCTAAAGCCAAAACCTTTTTTATTTTGGTCAAGCTGTCAAGTTTTTTGTTTACGCCATCTGTGTCTCAGGTAGATATACCTTCACTTCCTGTCCTGCAGACTTAAGTGAGAGGATTTTTTTAAATATCAGGGATATCCTTTATTTCATTTGAGGTGTATCCTTAATATACCCAGTTTTCAGGGAACACATGTCCTCATTGTAAGATTTCTCTTCTATTCTTGTTCTGGTTGCAACAAATATTTTGGATTTACCCTCACTTTCAATCTCGGTGACATTGCTAATCAGAACAATTAGAGAGATTGTATCTTCCTGACAGGGATAGCAATAAAAACATATAACATATAAGAGATGAGGTTACGATAAGTAAATACCCAACATACCAAGGCCTAAAAATTATGTGCGTCAGTGAAACGGTGACAAAATACAGTAGCACAAATTGTCCATAGGTGACGCTTTAAAAGCTATACAGGTCATCAGTTTAGAGATACCTGTTAATATTGGCCCTGGAATTATTGCTCCCACTCTGGCGAAAACAGCGATGCCTAACATATGTAGTGCAATCGTTGTTTTCATACGTAGGTGCACCCAACGTGTTAATAAGGCCACAGAAATATTGACCGGTGCCTCTTTGGGTTTTCACCACTTGAGTTTTTTTTTTTTTTTTTTTTTAAAATTTGTATCTTTTACATGTATTTTTTCAAACTTTGTATCTTATACATGTTCACTTGCACAGCAATGTTTTTTAAAGCACACCTGTCACTACTTCCTCCCAACATCCCCTCTCCTGCTGCTTCCCCAGACAAGACTCCTAATAATATTACATCTGACTTTGTGTTTTCCGTTGTTTTCAGACATTTGAAGGTCACGATGCCTCAGTGCTGAAGGTTATATTTGTCAGTCGTGGTACACAGCTGCTTACAAGGTAAATGTCAGAATCTCTCTACTTGAACAGTGATTGCTTTTCCAAAACGGCATTAAAAAGCTGCTCGACCTAAAGCTGATTTGTCAGTTTTGGGCGGTGATGGAGCAATCTTTGATTTTCCTGGAGGAGAGATTACCCGTAGGACCAGCATAGCCCCGGCAGACTTAGATGGGCTTTTCAGCAAATGAGGTTTCCATATTTTTCGATGGAAAGTCCACCGAGGTGCTTATGATACAATATTTCTGTGGCCTTAAGTAGATGCTCTATAGGGATATGTGTAGAACGCATTTGGGCCAGTGACAACAGCAACTTGGCCAAAAATCCAATTAACCAGTCACAGCTGTGCTGGCAACAGAAGGGGGATCACCCACAGGGGTTCTAAACTCCTTGACGAGTTGTTAGAATTCATCCCTTCCCTTACCCAAGTCAAAGCTGGACTTGCCCTTTAAATACAATCTTTGACTGTGCCCATACTAATGCCGTTTCCTTGTTCCTGTCCTTAGTGGCTCAGATGGCCTGCTGAAGCTGTGGACCATTAAGACAAACGAGTGTGTGAAGACACTGGACTCCCATGAGGACAAAGTGTGGGGTCTGCACAGCAACAAACTGGACAGCGCTCTGGTGACTGGATCCGCGGACTCGAGCATTATTCTGTGGAAGGTGGGAGAGCTGTCTGGTTGTGTGCCTGATGAAGTATTGGGTATATGCAAGAGTCCAACTGCACATTCAATACATTACATTTGCATCAAAACAGTCGGAGCATGAGTAGAAAAGTCTGCCAGCATTCTGCAGAGAAGGACCGTTCCTCTCTCTGTGTGGAAGCAGGGGTCTCTCTCTAGAGGTCCGACATACCCTTTGCCTATGAAGGGCATTAGCATTGACTCGGCAAGATCTTTGCTGATTGCAGCTGTCACTCAACAGGGTGGTGTGTGAAGAGATCCTTTTTCTTCCTGCTGTGTCTCTGGGGAAGGAAATGGAGGGAAATCTCCCTGATGGGACACAGGCTGCAGAGAAAAACAAAACTGGCAGGGTTTTAACCATTTCCTACTCTATGTATCCAAAACCAAAACATTTTAAATGTAAATAGGTGAGAGGAATTGGGGGTGGGGGGCTGCTACTTTTGCCTCGAGTTGGGCTTTAAAGTGAGCCGGTCCACAAAGAGGCCACTGAAAACAGTGGTTTCTCTCAAGAGATTCTACACAACCCCCACATAATTATTATTATTATTATTATAATACAGGATATATATATATCGCCAACAGTTTGCACAGCGCTTTACAATACAAGAAAGACATTAAAATACAATTCAAGACAAGATGGTACGGAGGGCCGTGCCCCTGAGGACTTACAATCTAAAAGGGAGGGACCAGGGATACATGAGGAGGTAGCTGCGTGGGGATGAATTGTTTGAGAATGTGATGGTTCAGTGCCTAGTTTGAGGTGGGATAGGCTTCCCTGAAGAGATGAGTCTTTAGCGATCGCCTAAAGGCAGTCAGTGTGGGAGATAGACAGACAGGTTGGGGTAAAGAGTTCCAGAGGATGGGAGAGACTCTAGAGAAGCCCTGGAGGCGACCATGGGAGGAGTTGACAAGGGAGCTAGAAAGCAGGAGGTCTTTGGAGGAGCGGAGGCGACGCTTAGGATGATATTATGAGCAATAATGTCATATCCACCCATTTATAGAACTATAGGTTCCCATTCATTCAGCAGACCCCTTGTAATTAGACATATGCTTTGTAATGAGCGCTGGGGGCATTTGAACAATGAAATAATCTGTTGCTTTATTCCCAGGACGTCACAGAGACAGAGCTGGCTGAAGAACTAGCCAAAAAGGAGGATGAGATCTTGAAGTAAGTGCACTCTTGATTTCCAATCATCTGTTGGATTGCTCCCTTGTTTGTATTGTAACACCATTTCTCCTTCTCTCCTGCAGACAGCAAGAGCTGTCAAACCTTTTACATGAGAAGAGGTTCCTGAAGGCTCTGGGCCTGGCCATCACCTTAGACCAGCCGCATACCGCGCTCAGAGTTATAAAAGGTGGAGTATTCACTCTGAATATAACTTTTGGAAACCGAGATATTTCAAAGCATTGTACACTTGTAGGTTTATCCGTCCCCTCCTGACCAACAAAGGAGCCGTTCCTGCAGTAATCAGGTTTTCCTACTATCACTTTATGGTGGGACCGTCCTTTTGTTTTGTGGTTCTGTACAGCCTGAGCCCAGCATCTTATGGGCTTTTGCTCTTCAGCTCCAAAAAACTTTATTGCCACTTGAACAGATATACAGCAAGATAAAGCATGTACTTCAGCTTACTTGTATATCTGTTCAAGTGGCAATAATCATTTATTTTAGAGTTCAGAGGTCCGTAAGTATGTACTGCAGAGTTCAGAGGTCATTGCCCAGCTCAGTGGGCTCCGTCCTTTCCCAATACACTGCAATCAATCAAGGAAAGCGGCACCTCTTATCACGTCTTTTTTTTTTTTCTTTAGCTCCAACAATGTAATTGCCGCTTGAGCAGATATACAGCAAGCTGAGGCATGTGCTCTAGCTGATTACATATCTGTTCAAGTGGCAATAACAATTTTTGGGGAGAAAGAGAAAACAACATGGCAGAGGTGCTGCTTTCTTTGGTTGCAGTGTATTGGGGAAGGACAGGGCCCATGGAGCTGGGCAGTGACCTTTGAACTCTGTGGTACTTCTGAATGCACTACTGACCCCTGTACTCTGTGTTACATACTACTGATCTCTGCTTTACTTACTTCTGACCTCTGCACTCTGCGTTAATTACCTCTGTACTCTGAATTGCATACTACTGACCCCCTGCACTGTGTGCTACTTACTACTAATCCCTGTACTCTGTTACATACCACCTACCTGTGTTCTCTGCGTTACATGTGACTGACACCTGCACTCTGCATTATATACTACTTGCACCTGCACTCCGCGTTCCTTACGGACCCTTGTACTTTGCATTACATACTACTGACCCCTGCACTCTGCCTTACATACCGGTACTACTTACACCTGCACTCTGTGTTGTTTACCAACCACTGTACATACACCTGACCTCTGCACTTTTTTTTCTTTGCATGCTTCTGGCCCCATTACTCTGTGTTACATACTACTGATCTCTGCATTACTTACTCCTAACCCCTGTACTCTGTGTTACATACCACTGACCTCTGAATGATACTTAATCCTGATCCCACCTTGACTGCCTTTAGGCGATCTCTTAAGACTCATCTCTTCAGGTGAAGCCTATCCCACCACAACCCAACCACTGAACCATCACGTTCTCAAACAATTCATCCCCACACAGCTACCTCCTCATGTATCACTGGCCCCTCCCATTTAGATTGTAAGCCCTCAGGGGCAGGGCCCTTCTTACCATCTTGTCTTGATTTGTATTGTGATTGTAATGTGTTCCTTATATTGTAAAGCGCTGCGCAAACTGTTGGCGCTATATAAATCCTGTATAATAATAATACATGCACTGTGAATCGTTAATGCGCTGTTTCTCATTGAAGCTAAAAAGCGAGGATGTTTACATTTTTACAATGACCGTTATTTATTTATTTTTTGCCATAATTTTTTAATAAGGCCTTTCCTAGGTCATCTCCTTAAAAAAAAAGAAAAAAAAAAGAAGCTGCCCTCCCACCTTCCCCTTTACAGGGAGAGTAGGCCTTCTAATGCACCTGAAATAGCGGCATTGTTTAAGGGCCAGCAAAGATCTAATCTTCAATCTGTTTAATTTCAGCCATTCTGCAGGAACCCCAAGGAAAAGATGATCTGCAGAAAAACCTGCTGAGGTTACGCAGTGACCAGACAGGTAAGGGAGTGCATAACAGTGTTTTATGTTGTGGGGGGGGGACAAATGAGTGGACAAATTAATAGAAACCCCACACTGGGGATGATCATGTATATTGGTTTCTATACAGTACATTCACAGTATGGGAGCGGCTGCTGTGTGTAATGATTGAACTCTGATGTACTTACTCCTTATCCTACGTTGTCAGAGGCCATCCTGAGATATTGCACCATCTGGAACACAAATTCCCGGAACTGTCACGAGGCGCAGTGTGTGCTGAACATCATCCTCACCCATGTACCGCCCGACACTCTGCTCCAGTACAGCTCCATCCGAGGCAACGTGGAAGCTCTTATCCCCTACACAGGTGAGGACCCGCTAATAGGTGACATTAGTCATGTTGTCTTTATAATCTACCCTGATTTTCCCCCCACACTAAAATACTTACCTTTACCCCCCACTCCCGGGTCCTTTACTGAGCAGCCCTGCACCACACAGCTTTGTATGAGACATCCGGGCCAGGGTCCTGCACCTAGTGTGCACATATACTGTGGCTCTATTCATTCCTATAGGTCAGAGGCGGGCAACTTCCATCCCTCCAGCTGTTGTGGAACTACAAATCCCATGAGGCATTGCAAGATTGACAGCCACAGGTGTGACTCCCAGAGACAGATACATGATGGCATTTGTAGTTTTACCAAAGCTGAAGGGCTGAAGTTTGCCCACCCCTGCTATAGATGGTCTGTACTCCGCCATGAGTAGGAACTAATGGGGCCGCAATGTGTGCCCGCCAGATGCCGGACCCTGGGAGCCTTTGCGGTAGGGCCACACATTTAAATACTCAGGAGTATAATGGTAAGTATTAAGGAGTAATGCAAGTATTTTAGAGCGCAGGCCACACTGAGGGGCGGGGTTTATTTAAAGTCATCTTCACTGAGCTTGGCATCTGTTTTAAAGGGTCACTCCTTCCAAAAGTAAGATTTCAGATATCAATGGGGTCTGTTGATCTGAGATGTATTCTGCCTCTTTGGGGTCTTCTAGGGACTTCCATGGTGACCTCTCTGTCAGTAATGAGCGAATGCTTTAAGAGTTGTCATCTAAATCCTGCAGCCTTTATTGATCCCGAGGATCATCGTTTTATCTTTTACCTATTAGAAGTGACCATTTGTGACACAAGTGGGCGGCCATTGCTGCCTTCCTCTAAAAATCTCAGTTGCCTGGCTGCTGTGGGTTCAGTATTTGGAGTCGGTGACCCAGAACAAGTGAAGTCAGAGTCGGGTCAGAACTCTTATTCTGTGTGATTTGTTTCAGCTCAGTGAACATAGTGAAGCCATTGGATCAGCATGAAAGCCGGGCACTTGGCACCAGAGTAGGGTAGCAGAGGCGGCAGCCCCCATTTCCCCCCTCAGTCCAGTAGCCAAGCCCTCCTCTGTTCCTGACTTCTTCCTCCTTTCACCCCGCAGAGCGACACATGCAGAGGATGGCCAGACTTCTGCAGGCGTCCATGTTTGTGGACTTTATGTGGCAACACATGAGACTGAGCGATATGCCGGAGGAGAAGGACAACGCACCAATCCCTGTTAACGGCTTGACCGTCACCGCGCAAGAGGACGCCATGGTATGACGTCACATAGCCGAGCTATCTGCCATCTGCAGTGCGTACTGCGTATAGACAATGCTGAACAGCCTGTGGGGCTCCTGTACCGACCATTGCGAAAGGAGCCGCGTCTTTTCTACCAGCGAGTGATAACAATCATCATGGCAGCGCTCTCATTTTCTGTTGTGGATGGAGCCCGTGTCCCCGGCTCTATAATGGTGAATAGACACAGAAAAGACTGAACACTTCCTGAATTCTTCCTGAATTCTTCATCTGTATATCGGCCCTGGTAGCTTTTGATCAGAGACAGGTGCTCTTTGCTGGTTGGCGTTCCTGTCCATTGGAAGAAAGAAAACAAAAACTTTGTGAAAATGACAACTTAAAGCCGAACTCTAGGCAGACACATGAAATGGATAGAAGGGAGGTTTTGTGCCTGCCAAAAGATTTGTATTCTCTCCATCCAGTCCTGAGATTTACACAGCCCTGCCACACCACACAGCCTGGTCTGGCTGGGCAGGTGACCGGATTTTTCTCTCCTGAAGTTCAGTAACACGTACAGGTCTTGTCCCTCCCTCAGCCTGGAGAGTGAAACAAGAAGCTCACCTCTCTGTCACTCTGCTCTTTTCTGTCTGCCCGGAGTTCAGCTGTAAGAAATATAATAAAGATTATACGCAAGAGAAGATTTGGGCTTTTTATTCTTTATTTTTTCTGTTTTTTTTGTTTGATGCTTTTTAATAGGGAGGCACCGATACTTTTCGAGCACCAATGCCGATACTTGTTTTTTGTCATGAGAACTACCAGGGTTGCAGCGGTTGCAGCTGGGACCTGGCTCTGGCACTCCACCGCTGTCCTGAAATCATTAGTCTGCATTGTTTTAGAAAAACTCTCACATGACAATAAACAAAAATGTATCGGTACTCGTACTTGTAAGTACTCGGCAAGTACCAGTACTCGTACTCGCAAAACTGGTATCTGTGCATGCCTTTATTTATATTTATAAAAACAAAATCGTACATTAAAACAAAGATGCACCAATCCCAGGAGCTCCGTGTGCTCCTTACAAATGGCAGCGGCCTCCTAACTTTTGAATTTTTCTCTAGTCTAGTCTTGGAGCTGGAAAAGTATCTGTACTTGTACCGAGTACTGTACTTGGTATGGGTGCATCCCTACTTTTTAACATATAAACAAATCACTGAATGCTGATCGCCCATCAAGAGTGCTTTGGCTGAATCAACCGGCCGAAGATGAAACTCTCTTCTATTTTGTGTCACATTGTCATCAGAGAAGATGACAACAAGCCCCGCCCACCACGACAAGGTAGAGTCTATAGCGGGCGGTATTACAAACGACCCTAGCCTCGTCTACCCAATGATAGTCTATAACCCCCATCCAGCATGACTATCAGCCATGACCTCTGCTGGTTCTAGCATCACGTCTACTCTGATACCTTGCTCCAGTCATCCTTCCTTCTGTAACGGGCATTTGTTTCTTTGCTCCTGCGTGTTTAGCAAAAAAAATTACAAAAACACACATTACCATCAATTTCATGCCTTGGTTCACACCTAGGCGGCACTGTTTTTGTACGCGCGTTAGCAGCATGCGGTAATTTGCGCGTTGTGCTCATTTGTATGCGCATTTTAACGCGCGTACATGAAGATGCGCGTTTTGATTGGCAGCTCGTAAGCCATTGTCGGCAATGGAAGGACGCATGTCTAAATGTACAAAAATGCTCACGAAAATGTGCAACAAGCTTCTGTTGTGCATTTTTGGGCATTTCCAATGAAGTCTATGGGGAGGAAAAGAGCTTTTAACTGCCCAAAGAAGCTCCTGTATCTTTTCAGGCGTCTGGCGTTTTCCTGCTCAGAACCAGTGTGAACCAGGGCCATTGTGAATCACGGGATTTCTTGTGTCGGGCAGTTAAAAGCGCTTTTCGAACTGCTGAGAAACTCCTAGGTGTGAACCAGGGCTTAAAGCTCAACTCCGAGAAATCCCAAAACCCTTGCAATACGAAACCCATTTAACCCCTCCAACCTATGCACTGCACTCCACAACCTAAATACCCGTTTCTTTTTGGGTAAGAAAAATGAGGTGTAATACTTACCTTATTTCCCCCTTCACCATATCTCCCTCCATTGGTGCGACCGGACCCCACAGCCTCCTCTATAGTGTGCTCCAGCCCGCGGTTGCATAATGATGTCATCAAGTACAATACAGGGCTAATATGTCTGCACTGTACGCAAGGACCGCGGGGATCCACCCACAAGCGGGCACAGAGGAGAGCCGGAACCTGCCCTAGAGGAGTAAGGTCATTATTCCCCCTATTCCCTATCCCCTAGTATTATTGATCATTGAAACCTGGCAGTGCAAGGATGTCCCACTACAATGGTAGTATTTTGTAGTTCCTGGAGTTGGGCTTTAATTCTCCAACTATAGAGATTCAAGAACAGCGTCAGATCCAACAACTGCAAGCGCACAGTATATACGCAGACCTGCCAGCATGGTGTATATACAGTGTATGTATATGTACAGTGGTACCTTGGTTCACGAACGCTTATGTTCGCCAACAATTCGGTTCGCGAATAGAAAGTTTGGCAAAATTTTGCTTCTGTTCGTGGACTCCACATCAGGTGACGAACAAAATCACAGCCATCTACCCTGCTCTGACACGTGTTCTTGGCTTCCTCTAGTCGAGATCGCGGTCGCAGACAGACCTGTGCACACTTGCTGTGAAGCTTTTTAGCACATACAGTACTGTACAGTATTCTGTATTACATTTTATATAAATTCTTTATTTCAAAAATCTTTCACACAAATAAGTAATAGCGGCAAGGCACAATATTGGCCCTCATAGGCCGTAAAAGATATTCTTACATAACCATTATGCAGTGTTACAAGTTACAACAAGGGCCGTTCAGCGGTTGAGATAGGTTTTCTCATAGATATAACAAACAGGTAACCGCAAGTCCCAGCCTAGGGCTGGGAAGGGGGGGGAGTTGGTGTTCTGTCTAGGTCTGTTAGCTATAGGGTATTTGTTCCAACATGGGGGTTGCTGACACTCCCTCGAGGGTGTGAGGCAAGCAAAGTGAGTGGAGTCAACGGACAGGGGTTCACTGTATGCCACTGGGTTCGGGAAATGGTGCGGAAAATATGCTAACCGCTTGTTGAGCTGTATGAGGCGGCGGGGTGGGGGCAGGAAGGACTTGGGTAGGCAGTAAGGTAAAAGGTGGGGTGGGTACTCTTCCCAATGGGAAGAAGGAAGGAGGGACAAGGCCAGGGTCCAGGTTGGTGAGGAGTGTCACACGTCAGAGCCCTGACGTAGTTTCGTGTAGGCCGGGGAGGAGAGAAAGTCGATCCAGTAAAACCAAGTGGTTCTAAATTTAGCAGGGGTGTTGTTAAGGGAACTTGTATGATCCTCCATAAGATAGATTTCCCATAACGTCTTCCAGGACAGCATCACGAGATGGAATCTCCTCCCCCACACACAGGAAACACGTCACTTAATCTGTTTAAAAGACCCTCCTCTCCTCCACTCCCTCAGTCTTTTGTGTTTCCTCAGTCAAGCTGGGGAGCGCGTCACAGAACGCTGAGAGAGGGCTTCCATGTGGTGATGCTGCCCGGGAAGTCTTCCAAAGAACCATGGAGTGTCGGTAGAGGAGCTAGCTAAGAGAAGCTTGTAGCAAAATGAGAGAACATGACGGGCCTGGCCTTCTAGGTTGCTTTCGTGTTCGAATGGGGTCAGGGCTCAAGAGAATCGTGAGGGGGGCGGGAGAGATCGCAGGAAGAGGGTAAGTTGCATGGTCCACTACGGGTCCAGGGGTAAAGGGCCCTGCTGGGAGGTCACAGTGAATACAGAGGACCAGGAGGTTCCGGTCAAGAAGTGGAGCGCTCTGAATTTACCTGGGGTGCCAAGTGCTTGGAAGCGTGCGTCCCCCAGTCCAGGTGGAAAAGCCGGGTTACCCAATATCGGGGTCATAGGTGAGGGGGAGAGGGAGTGAGCAGCGAAGGCGGCTCTAGCCACCCTGAGAGTAGGCATGATCGTGGGATGGAATCAAACTGCTGGGGGCAAGGGGGTAGTGCACCAGGGAAGTCCCGGGAGCGGCACCGTAGAGAAGGTTTGTTCCAGGCCAGTCCACAGTTTCGAGGTTTGGTGTCGGCACTAGTCTATAACACGGGCTAGGTGGACCGAGGTGTAATATAGGCGGATACCAGGTAGGCCCTTACGAAAGAGGTGAAAAGTGTTATCAGTTTACGAAAAAATCGCAATCGGGAGGGCTTGAAGTGGGTAAAGGAGGCGGGGGAGGATGGATTGTTTGAGTATATTACACCGGCGTATTCTGTATTACATTGAACCTTATGGGGAAATTTGATTCGGTTTGTGACCAGAATCATGGAATGAATTAAGTACGTGAAGGTACCACAGTGTGTGTGTATGTGTAATATATATATATATATATATGTGTATATATGTAGTGCAATATAAATGGGTAAGCCGTATTAGTCCAGTAGACAAGATGTCAAAAAAGACAAAAAACAAGGATTGTTTATAGTTCTTTCACCCTAAACCTATATTTTCTTTAATGATGGGAGGAGTCTGAAGGTTTTGTATTTCAGTTTTTATTGGTATTTTTTGTCAAGGGATACAATGAATCGAAATATCACACCAATGTAAACAATAATATATCCATAAACATTACACGTTCCATTACAATGTTTTAGTCTTATCCTTATGGAGATAATTTTCTAAGCTCAAATAGTCATGTTTGTGTACATTTGTCGATCAATATATAGGCAAAAGCAGAGGATCACCTACAGTAGCTGTGAATAGAAAGTGTGTACTCCTTATAGGTATTCCATTCCATTAGTGGAAGAAAGAAGGAGAATAAACCTGGCCATACACTAGGCATTTTTTTTTTCTTGTTCAGCCTGCGATAAGCACCGTGGTGGGAGAATCTCTCCTGCTGGGCTATTGTATTCTGACAGCCGTGGGAAATACTCCCAAGCAGTGACTGCAGTTGATTGGCCGAGTTAAGCCGTCGAGCGGAACAGAGGAGTGCTGGCACATGGTGGGCCGCACATGGCTGAACTCAGCCAGAATGCGAGCGGTTACTAGTCAGATAAACCTTAGAAGCTCCTCGCTTCTAGAATGTGGGGTCGTCCATAAAAGATGGAGAGAGCAAAGAAAAGAGGGGTAGGAGAGGACTTTCCTCACCCGTTTAATGAATTATGGTGGATCCATGGGTCCTACGTCTTTTCAAACCTGGTTTGATTGTAATAATAAAAGTAATATTCATGTACATAAGTTCATCATTAATCATCGCCCTATTAAGTTTATTGTTAACAAAGTCCTTAGAGATGGTCGGTTTCCTCCAAATTTTTGCTATTGCTATTCTAGCATCTCATAGTATGTAAGAAGTCAAGAGCTTAGGCTGGATTCACACCTTTGTGTTTTTCATTGAAACAGATCAGAACTCAACTTGCATTAAGACATGCGCCAACGTGGGTCACGATGCACTTTAACGCATTATGACTTACGTAAGCACATCATGAAAAGCATCTACACACGTTTTGATGCATTGTAACATTTATTACAAAGCACATTGCATCACACATTGAAAATGCGTGACAATGAATGTTAACGTGCATCAGCACGCAATGATTTGATGCATTTCTTTTGATTTCAATGGAAAATAGCTCAGGGGGAAAAAAATGCATCGTGTGCATCTGTTTTTTATGGGTTTCCAGTTCAAATGTATGGAACAGGGTGCTCTCCAGAGTAGAGTATGGAGGTTTGGCTTACGTATGGGTATCTATCTTGTATCTTTGGGAGCACCGGTAACGCAATCTAACCATGACTTTGAAGATGCTGCTATAAAGAGGAGTCTCGGTCCTCCTGCTTCATTCTTTGAAATGTACAATGACAATTCCCTTTTGTAGTGGCTGCAGAAGCTGGGTGGAGTTTGCAACCCAGATGCAGACATCTAGAGGTCCTGAGATAAATTAGAAGCCATTGACTTTTTCAACTCCCTAGCACACAAAACTACATTATCTGGTGGGCTGAACTTTCCTCTGTTCATGATTGTATTGTCCTTTATGCATTCAAACTACTTTCTCTTAATTAAACACATAATTATATTTAAAAAATAATCAACATGTAAAATATAATAAATACATTAAATAAATAAAACCAAAATGCAAGGCCATGAATTTACAATGTAGAAGTTCTTCTCCTTTAGCCCTGCATATCCGTGGCTTCCTTCGTCTCAAAAGCTTTCTTTGTCACAGTGCTACACCTATGGAGTATCTCATATGCTTTGGGTCTCTGGGGCATCAGTGGGGTCCTGGGAAGAGTGGAAGTGGACTGACCACTTGGTGGCTTGGTTTTGCTGAGACTCTGCTTGTGCAATTCTTGTTGGTCACACAATATCTGACTTTGGAGATGAGGTCTTGGTGGTCTTTCAGAAGAAGCGTCAGAGCCAGCAGAAAGCTTTCGTATGGCATCCTTCATTCCATTCTTGTGTGTTGGTGTCTGCCCTTTTCCTAAATGTTGTACTTCCTGTGTATGATCCCTTGGCACTAATTCAGCAGGATCGAAGTAAAAGCCATATGCTGGGCTTGAAGGTATGACACTGATGGATCTTGATTTTTTCCTGTCCAGTTTCGGACCCCCAACCCACTGTGTCTTGCCCATATTATGCTCCTTCTCCATTCTCCATGCCTCCGTTGGTCTGCTCAGTTCTAGCAGGCTGGAGGCTTTGAACAAATTTGAAGTGGAAGGGAATTTCTCATGATTCTTATTGATCTGAAGCTGGTGGCAATTTCGGTATGGTTTTAGGTACATAGCCGGGACAAAGCCAGTTTTTCCATTATACCTGTGGTGAGTCAAAAGGAAATAGTAATGTTAATTTTTAAAGCCGATGAGCAGGTTTAGCTTTTTTTTGTTTTGTTTACGAGTCTATAGCATTTAACTTTGTAACCATATTCACCAGTTCTTAAAGGGACCCAAACTCAGGCAAACCTATCCTTCAAGCAATGTGATACAAGTCAGTTGGTAATCATACAACACTGACAACAGGCATTCTGCAGCTGCTCTTTGCCTAAGCTCTTGTAGTCATCCATTTCACAGGATTGTGGCTACAAGGAGGCTGCCAACCTGCCATATTACTAGATTCAAAAGCTATCGCCGAACAGCTCCTTCTGTTCCTAGACCCCACCCGCTGATGACACCATTAATGCAATCAGAAGCAGTGGGTGGGGCATGACTCTAATAATGTAAACCTCCTAATAGACTCCTCTGAGGCTATAATAATGGAAGGGGCCTATGCACTTTCACATGTAGGGGAGTACACTACTGCTCCTAAGTGGGAATTATAAGGTTTAGTGGTAAATATGAAACATTTATATTTGTCCTACAAGAAAGATTCTTTTTTTTTTTTTAATACTTTTTAGTGTCATACATATGGAAAATATATGAAAGCACTATATAGTCCCTTAACGTTCTGTATGAGCTTTGTAAAATATATTACCTTATCAGCCACCATCCGTTGTTAGACTTCTCTTTGACTTCTACAAGGACTCCTCGAGAGATGGAAACTTCATCCCAGCTCAAAGCTTCATATGCCATTGTGGAATAGTACCGTATTCCTGAATAAGAAGAAGCCAAATGATTACATACTGGGCCCTGTAGCGATATTTTTTAATAATGTTGTGTCTCCTTATACCAGCCAGATAACAGCTCATTTCAGCCAGCTTTCAACTAATTTCACTACGCCATGACCCATTACCATGCTGTATTGCCCAAGACAGCGCCATTCTTTTAATAGCAACCATAGAGATTTTTTTAGTGCTATAATCGGACTTAATAGAATTGTACTAATTGTTTAGATTGTATATTCAGATTGTAATGTGCAGCCTCTCTCTCTTTCTCCCTCCCCCCTCTCTCTCTCCCCCTCTCTATTTTTTCTGTCCATTCCCTTCCTCCTCTTTTATCCTCTCCTCTTCATCCTTCTCAACCATTCTCTGTCTTCCTTTCTCCACCATCTCTTTCTTCTTTTGTCCTTTCCTTCCTTTCTTTCTCCCTTTCCTTCCCCTTCTTTCCTTCCTTTCCCTGCCTTCTCTTTCTTCCTTTCCTCTTCTTCCTTCTCAACCTTTTCCTGTCTTCCTTTCCCATCTCTTCCTTCCTTTCACATTGTCTTCCTTTCTTTCTACATTTTCCCTTCATTCTGTACCTTTCCTTTCTTCAATACTTTTCCTGCCTTTACTTTATTCCTCCTTTCTCTTCTCACAATACCTCAGGCATATATATAAATATATATTTTATTTGTGGGCCAGGATAAGAATATAAAAGGTGCAAATGTTGGCTTCTTAAAGATCCATGTCCAGGGACCATCAATTTCATTTGTGCTCCACTATCTAATCACTAAGAGCTCATCCATGAAGTTCGAGCTTTGGACCTCCATGCATGTTTTCAGTCAGGTACTCAATAAATAGCGTGGAAAAGTTGAGAATGATAGCTTGGAGCTGGTACTTCCAAGATTCCTTTCAGCAATGCCAAATGCTATATTTTTATTCTAATAGATTCCTTTTTTTGGAGGGTGTTAGGGTTGTTACTGTTGGAAATTGATCACATGAATAGCAACATACCTTCATCATCAGAATCCGTCCCTGAGCCAAGGTCATCTTCTTTGTTTAGAGCTTTGAGGAACGGAGCTGGAAACCATGCCACTCTCTTCTCTTCATTCTCTACCAACCACCAGCCTGAGAAAGAACAGAGCAGACTTATTATTCATCCACCCACTACAGATGTCACATGACCTACGGGTAGCTGGGCTGATGTAAGATATCTGTATTTTTGGAGATGTCCAGTGCTACCAATAATAACCAATCATCATTTAATGTTTACTCTCTTTCACTAAGAAAATGATTGCCTTGTAGCGGGCACCTTTAAAAAACAAATTGGTAGGTACAGCTCCCATGTTATTATCCTGACAGGACGACTTTAATATAAAGGAGCATTATTGGGTAGGAAGCCCAGGGTCTCACCAGAATTCTCCTTGATCAGCACACCCATGTGCTCGTTGCGTTTCACTTTGAAGGGTCGGTTCTTGGTGTCTTTGGTCTCGTGATCTTCGATGCACAGGTACATCTGGGACACGATGGGCTCCGTAGCTGGCGGTTTGGGTTGCAATCTTGGCCGCTCTCTCTGTTGTTCTCTTGCTTCTGAAGGCATGATCATCAAGCTGCAAACACATTGCCATTAGTTTCAGCCCAGATATTGCCTTGCAGATTGCTGTCATATGCTCTGCACATGGTCACGTGATCTCTGCTGGAGCAGAGGATCAGCCAAACTTAGGCCCCATTCACACCTATGCGTATTGTAATATGCGCGTCTGTCGCGCGACCGTCACGCGGTTTTTTTACCGCGATTTGCGGTACAAAAGTCGCGCGATTCCAAAGGCTACTTGGCAGTATACAAATGGAAAACGCCCTACAAAACGGACCAATACGCAGCAAAAAACGCTCCGGGACCTTTTCATGCGTGGGCCGTTTTGTAGTGCGTTCGGGACGGGCGGAAATACGGACAGGTGGGAACGATACCATTGACTACAATGCTATTTATTTTTTTGACCGTTTTGTAGAGCGTTCATCGAGCGTAGGACGCGCTACAAAACGGTCAGGTGTGAATGGGGCCTTAACCTTATCGCTTCCCTACAGCAGTGACCACACATGTGGCCAATACTGAAGGGAACCTTGAGCAGCATTTACTGCTGTCTTCTGTTCAGTCCCTCTGTTCTACTTTATTTATCAACTCCAGTAAATCTGACAATGTCAGTTATCTTCCAATTTGAATACAAGTTCAATTTAAAGCGTTACTCCAGCCCAAACTTTTTGTTTAGAATTTGGCAGGGGACAGTTAGAATATCTGTCACTTTTTTTGGTGTCTGAGGCCTCATTGCCCAGACAAGACATGAGGGATCATCTCCAATCAGGATACATACAGCACTATAAAGAAGTTTGGGGTTCTAGCCTTCCCCGACTCTACTAAAATATTCCTCTATATGTCCCTCTCACTTGTCCTGTCCTGCAAAATGAGGGGTAATCTCCCCAAGAGAACCACAAACAGCAATAACTGACAGAGGTTCTAGTCCTCCCCCAACACTATCCAAAACCATGGATGCAGAAACACTTCAACTCTCCAGAATGTAAAGCTTGCCATACGGTGCTCAAATTTCACCCAAGTCCTGCTGACTCAACCGAAATTCGAGCTGTGGCTGGCCCTGTCAGTACCACTTCATTTGACAAACTAGATTTTTTCATCAACTTTTGTTGAAGGAGCTGGGCCAAAAATTCTCGGCTGAATGGTGAGTGCACCCAATCAGCTGTAGTCAATTTTTGGGTGGGAGTCAGGCATCAGAATACAAAAGCCCAGTGGGGGGTTTCCTCCATCCATGCCAAACGAAATCAAGCCTGTTATTGGCTTTACAAAAAGTGAAACATTGGTTGTTGGTAGACTGAGCCCTTGAACTATTAAAAAGGCTCATCATGTGGTTTCATGCTTATGACAGGATAATATAACAGTAGATAGGAGCATCAGCTGTGATCATATCCATTGTCCAAGCAACTTCACATGGACCACAGAACCTCATGTGGTCACAAGCCATTGGACAGGATGACCACCAATCCACCAAAGAGGCAACTATCTGGTAATCTGTCATCTTTTTTATATTCAGAGTTCTTGAAAGCAGTGCGGACCTGTTTTCAGGGAAATTCGGGTTCAGATCATTGCTTTTGGGCGTGAAGAAGCCCGTCACCACATCACAATGGGAGATTTTCTCATCAGCTGTCAGGAGCTGTTGACAATAAACTTCCAGCAGTCTCAGTCTCTCGATGAAGCGGCTGGTGTTTCGGTTCTTCCTGAAGATGGGGACATCTGTAGGAAAGAAGACATCATGTGAGTGATACTGGGACTATCCCTCAACCTAATTACAGCTGCAAGAACCCATCTGACAACTAAGGAGGAAGTAAACAGGCGTGGATGGGATAATTATACTGCAAGAGGTTGCAACACATTCCTCAAACACAACAAGCTCATAATTAAACTGTCTGTGGGTCCGATCAGAAAATGATTTGGAAGCATGATCAGTACACTAATGAGCCAAGTGCGCAGACACCCCTAGTGCTTTAATGTCAATGGAGTCAATTAATTAATCAATGTGGCTGATTTTTGCCAGTGAGCGCCGGCAAAGCTTGCATACTACCCATAGACATGAATATTCCCAGTCCACTTGAGGCTCAACATACACATTACAATCTGACCGTACAACCTCTGTACAATCAACTTTAGATCTACCAAAAGACATATTAGCACCTGCCTAAGTTATGTAGTTGTTGGTAGATCTTAAGGAGATTGTACATTAGATTGTAACGTGTGTGGTGAGCTTAAATCAGCTAAAATGAGCGACAATCATAATTTGTCTATGTGAAACTTAAATCACATCCAAACCCATAGAAATATTGCATTAGGGTGTGCACACAAAAGCACAAACATATATATATTGCATACATACTCTTCAACTCTGCACCTCCTGTACAGCACAATCCCTATTCATTTCCAAGGAACTTTCACGGAGACTTTCAACTCCGTGCCCTGTTCAATTACCATATGACCAGCGCAATTTCTCTCAGCTTCAGGGCCCATTCACACCAAAGCATTGTGCTAAAAAAAAGGTAATGCGGTCAGGGCTGGATTTACTCTCTCTGCTGCCCCAAGGCCAGGTTCCTCAATGCGCCCCCCTACCCGTCAACCCCCCCCCCC